ATTCTTTCTATTGATTCTCTATTTGATTACATGTTATCTTATGTGTGATTATTTGGCAATTAATCTCTACACTAGATTCTCTATATTGGTTGCATGTCTATGTGTGATTAATTAAGGATTTAGTGATGGCTAAGCATGGGTTTTCATTGAATGGGTTTGTCAATTAATTTGATGGATTATTCTTATACTTGATGGGTTATTCTACAATTTAATTCATGCTTGTAAGTAAGTAGACAATCTATACTTGGTTTGATATTCCATGGCTTATTATTACAAATTTCATGATTCTCTAGATTGATGTGTGCTACAATTGTGACTAGTTTGATGAGTCATGCTTAGATTTGATAGGTTGTTCTACACTTAGTTTATTTGTTGGTTAGGTAGACAATTCATGCATGAATTTGATGGTCCATGCTTAAAATTGCAATTGGTAATCGCATTTTGTTCACAACAATGTATTCCCCATTAATAGAAAGCAAGTGGTTAATTACATGAGCTTAGTGGCGATTCCAACACCCCAAGACCTCTCTTCATATCTCTTAAATCCCTATCTCAACTTAGTTTATTTTAATTACATTTTAATTCATTGCATCTTAGTTTAGTCAACCAATCTCTATCTTTTGCAATCAATTGATACATTAAAGTTGAAGTTAAATTCCAACACGTATAATCTCTTGGGACGATCCCTTCTCACTCATACTACATAGTATAGGTATTAAGCGGTTTATAAATTTAAAGTATGATGTCCACTTGATACTAATTTCCAAACTCAAAGTGTTGTGCATTATTTTGTGCACACGCTCGGGTCGCATCAATAATGAAATGATTGGAGTAGTGAGAGGTGTTGTTGTAGCTCTTAAAGAAGGAAATGAACTTCTTAAAGAGAGAAATGATCTTCATAAAACATTCAACAATCTTTATAAGAAGTGCAACTAAAAGGGAAAATATGAAGAAGAAATCTTTAAAGAGTTGGCAGCAATTGGAATAGAGGAGCATGCAATTGTTAAGGCTTTCATTTTTTTGACTAAGCATGACCATCCTGATAGAATGACACAATTTCTTGGTTGCCCATTTAATCATCGCAAGCAACTCTTGGAGGAATTAATGTCCGATGATTCTAGACGTTGACTGTGGTTTTAGTTGTATTGTCTTTTGGGGATGTCTTTTGGTAGAACTAGCTACTATTTTTATGTTTGGTTATATTATGTTTCTCTTTCGCTATGAAGCTTTTGGGATATTAACTTTGAGACCATATGTTTGTTTTATTTTAATGAGACATTATAATGTGTTATCTATTTTGGAATGCTTGATATACGTTATTTTATTTTTTTGTCTGCTTGTTATCTATTATGGAATGCTTGATACAGGTCATGTTATTTTAATGACAACATTTTGCTTGTTATCTACAGATTTTTTCATTAATTTGTATTATATTGCAAAGTTATATCTTCCATGTTGGCAATAACTTTTGATGTCCACATGCTAACTTATCCAGGTTGTTAATGTAACCTTGACTAGTCAATAATAAAGCCCTGATTTTGAGTTGCAAAATAATTCATATTGTCAGGTTGTTATTGCAAGAGAATTCAGTCATGTATCTACCCTAAGTTGTCAGTTTGGTCATATGTAGGAGTGTTTCTTTCGTGCATACAACAGACTAGCTGCCACTTAGCTTGTCTAATGACCTAAAATATGGTATTTTATGAATGATGCTAGTATAGGTCATTTTGGTTCCTAAAATTTAGCATGTGCTCACAGTTTTGATTAGAGAATGAACCAGTGCAAGAGAATTACAAGATTCTGGAAGTTGGGTAGCTTATTGCAAATAATATCATTTCTACTTCCCGGTTTCTTAGGTTGAATGAGTCATATCTAATTTTGTTTTCACCCATTATTTTTATGCTTTACTTTTGTTTTTACCCATGGTATTTAACTATAAAAAAGAAACAAGATTTTGGAAATGGATAATGTATGAAGTGGTTATGAAAGGGTAGGACAGTAATTTGATCACTATCTTTTTCTTCTTTTTTTTTTCTTTTTTTTTTCCTCCCCTATTTATCCAAACACGAATAGAAATTATTACTATCATTTCTTTTATTTTCTTTTCTCTCCTAACTAATGCTATCATTTCTTTTATTTTCTCCCCTATTTATCCAAATACACCTGAAGAGAAAGAGGAAGAGGGGTGGACAGAGGGATATAAAAAGAGAGTGGGGAAAAGAAGGGTATTTTTGTTCATTAAATGTTTTTTTTTGGTAATTAAATATCATTGTAAGGATAATAAAGTTATTTTAGATGGAGGAATGGACATTTTAGTCTGTATATATATATAGGGTAAAGTGCATTAAACCCCCTTGAACTATTGGTCATTTGCAATAAACTCCCCTGAACTACAAAAAACCTTATTGAACTATGATTTTGTTACAATTTACCCCCTTGAACTATTGGTCATTTGCAAGAAAGCCCCCTGAACTACAAAAAAAACCCTGAACTATGATTTTGTTGCAATTTACCCCTCTAAACTATGATTTTGTTGCAATTTACCCCCATGACATTAGTTTCCAGCACCGAAAATTTTGAAAGACCAGTTTACCCTTATAACACACTGCGTCGTTTTAACTTATATACTTCTTACATTTTTTTTTTTTTTTTTTGCCAAAAGATGTTTTTCACCCAACACAACCCAAAACAGAGAGCTAGAGAGAGAGAAAGAAGAGACCAAAGAAATCCGAGGTCGGCGGGATGGCTTGGTCTCGGATGATGGCAGCTTGTACGTGGAGGACTCGGCTATGATGAGAGCTCGGTTGACTCGGTCGTGAACTGTGGAGGCGGCAGCGAGCTCGAGGGGGCTCGACGGTGAACTATGGACGGCTGTGTGCTCGAAACATGGATGGCGGCGTGCTCGGTTATAGAGATGGCGGAATGGGCCGGCGAGCTTAGAATGGACGGTGGAATGGACCGGCGAGCAAGGTGAGCTGAACGGCGGGTACGGTGGTGACGGCGATGGGCTGACGCTACGGTGCAGAGAAGTACGATATATATGGCCGACGGATATGGCGGGTGGTGCAACGGCTATGATGGAGCTATGACAGGAGACTCACTGATCCCAGTAACAAATTCCTCGACTTCATCGTCCCTTTCAGTCAATCAATTCGCGCGGATAGGGTAAACTGCAAAAAAAAAATATAGTTCAAGGGGGTTTCTTGCACATACCCCAATAGTTTAGGGGGGTTTTTTGCAACTTTTATAGTTCAGGGGGTTTCTTGCACATACCTCAATAGTTCATGGGGGTTTTTTGCAACTTTTATAGTTCAGGGGGGTTTCTTGCACATACTCCAATAGTTCAGGGGGGTTTAATGTACTTTACCCTATATATATATATATATATATATATATTCTTTTGAGAGTGCACAACATAAAATTATTAGAGCATCTCTAATGCTAAAATGCTAAATTCGGATGCCAAATCTATATTTTGACAGTGTTACAGTGTCAAAATGCTACATTTTAGCAATCCTGCTCCAATGGTGTATTTCATACAAAATGCTATTTTTTGACACAACCACCATTCTTTTTCAACTACCATTCCCACCATTCTAAGTTTTATAAATCTCTACACTACAGTGTGCTCTACCATAAGCTCTAAAATTTAGTTTACAACGCAACCAATTTCTCAATCGAAAAACTATTGCTTGTGCAATTATTTCAATGTTGCCTCCGTCCCTCTAGATCATGCATAGACAAGACTCGATTCAAATTCACCATAAAAAAAGAACTTCAAGCTTAAATCTAGGGCTTAAATTCGGAGATACAAATAGATACCAATAACTGGTATATTTCACGAATTTGACAGGCAATCAAATAATATATGAATCGAGAGACAAACTACTATGTGCTGTGTGAAAATACGGCATATTTACATGAAAATTCATATCAAGCGACCACAATAAGCTAAATAAACTCTAATAGAAAACACTTGCCAAATGATCAAATAACCCACATTTATTCAAATTGGAACCAACATGTTTAAATCACAAACAGAAGCTTAGAAAAGCCCTAATTTCTGAAATAGTCACCTCAAGAACCAAAGTATTCAAGTCCAAAAAAACAACAGGAAAATAAAATAAATAAATAATATAATTATCAATCCAAATAAATCATCCATTGAGAAAGTGAATTAAGACAAAATGTAAATTAAAAAATCAATTTTTTGGATAAAAAAGTGAATATTCACACTTCGTGAGTAAATTACGTCAAAATTAAAGTAAATAACAGAAAAAGGCGATACAGAGAGAGAATCAATTGGACTACCTTCAAAATGCGCGAACGAATCAGAGATCAAAAAGGCGATACCGAAAAGTAACGGCGTACACTAACACAGCCGTAGAGTCAGAAAAATGCAAACTGCTAACATAGCAAGCTAGAGATTTCACGAAGAACGAGAGCTTAGAATCGAAGTACAGAGCTTGAGAGGAAGGAGGTTGTGACCTTGTCCGAAGCTGCAGTGTCGCCGGAATCTTACATTCCGGTGGAATGTGGCCGGATATTCGCCGTATTATTGTTTCTGTTGCCACTGTTCTCTCTCTCTCTGTTGCCCTAGACGAAATTGGAGCCGTCCCTTCTTTCCTGTATTCCCAGCCCATATAACAATAGCTATTTGTTTTGCTATAATTGGCATAAAAAATAACAAAGTTAAAAAATAGCGATCCAAATAGCATTGCATTGAAGAGCCCAGTTTTATGCTCACCTGCCATATTTTGAATTAACAGCTCAAATAACATGTGGGTTGGAGATGCTCTTAATAGCAAGTATGCAAAAAGAAACGCAACTTAAAATTTTGAAAAAGTGTTTTCTGACTGTAATTAGGGCATAAGGTAATTGTATTTAACCCCTTTTGTTTTTTTTGGGCTAGATTTTAGTCATAATCGCGAATTTCTAAAAGGGCCAACAAAATGGCTGGACACGTGCCTTTCATGTGCATAATAAAAGATGAAAGGTTGGGAAGAGCACTTGGCGCCCAAAAATCCTCTAAATCACTAGGGTTTTTAGGGTTTTGGGAAATCAACCCCCAAGTTTTCCATTTCCGCACTTTTGTATATATAACATACATATATATCTATACACAGAGAGAGAGAGAGAGAGAGATAGAGAGAGTTTGGATGGTAATCGAATGAACCAGTCGTGTAGCACAACAATCAAGCTTGAACTCGGCACATCCATGGCGTTTTGCAGCGGATTTCGTCTACTGAGATACCAGCTTTCACCTCCCCTGTCGCAGATCCGTTTCTCGAGGCTCCGGCAGGGTATATCAGAGCACCGGTTCCTCTCGGCCGTTCCGAGGCGTGGTCGGCCGGCGAATGTGAAAGCCAAGCCAAGCGAAGAGAACGCGAGAGAGGAGGCAAAGGGAGGGAATGGAAGTCTGATGGTGAAGGAGAAAGATGGAAGGGTCATTCAGACAGAGCTTCACAGGGAGGCGACTGATGCCTATATGGCGTATGCGATGTCTGTGTTGCTGGGCCGAGCTTTGCCGGATGTCCGCGACGGTCTCAAGCCTGTCCACCGGAGGGTTTTGTGAGTACTCTTTGGATGATCTGAAAATATTTGGTTTTATTGTGCTGTTTGGTTGATGGGGAGATTTGTGGGAAAACAGGAACAAGGAACTATATTAATATTTCTCCATGACATTTTGTTTTATTGTGCTGTTTGGTTTTATTAATATTTTGTTTTTTTAATGCATATATATTTTTTTACTGCAGTCTATTGTGAAGTGCTTGTTTATGATATTTATAGATTTTAATTTTAAATTCTATTTTCTTTAAGATAAAACTATTTAAGCTGGATGTTGAGAAGGGATATGATCATGTTAGTTGGAGCTTTTTGATATATGTTTTGGAGAGGATGGGGTTTGGTGAGAAATGGAGGAGGTGAATTTGATTATGCATTTCCATGCTCAAACTTTCATTGTTGATAAATAGGTTTCTGTTATGATTGGGAAGAGTGAGATTGCCTCTTTGGCTAATATTCTGGGGTGTAGTGTTGGGCTTTTCCAATGCCTTTTTTGGGCTTGACATTGGGGGTGCCACTGAGGAGGGTATCCTCTTGGGCCCATTTAGCATAGCATCCCCGTCTTCGCCTAAAACTGTTAAGTGGGGACTCTTCATCCCCCCTTCCCTGTTTAAAGTTTTTCCCCCGTCCCTGCCTTACTCAATTATTCTTTTAAAAAAAATTATTTTTAATGTTCTCTTAAATTATTAACGAGAGAAAATCTTACATGGGAAAGCAACATGAGAATCACCATAAGAGAATGAAGAAACTCAAATTTTATATTTGATATTAACTCATATAGTATATTTTAGCATTTCTTAGTAAAATATAGGTGTATCCTGGTAATTTTGCAACATAAACGGCGCTGAACCACCTTTCCTTTTCCTTGCCCAAAACCTGTGTGGGTTTTTACTCCCTCACCCCATACTCACCCAAACCCTATTAGGCATCATCCTCCAAAACCATCAGAAACGGATCGGGGTAGGATAGGGACTGATTATTCTGATCACTTTGCCATCCTTAATTCTGAAGTATAAACGTTTTTGTTTCAAGTTCTTAATAAGAAAATTTGGTCTTGCATATAACTATCACGAGTAATGCATGCAATGGACTCTTCTTTAATACAGAAAAGAACTATAATTTGTGAATGAAAAATATAATAAGAGTAGTATTGTACATGATTTAGTTAAATGCATGATGTTTGTCGAGTTTGATCTTCAACATTATACAATTGTTGTTACAGGAATTTAGAAAATTTATCTTTGTTATGTATTTTTCTTATAAGAATATATCTCTGTATATATTCACATCTCACCACCTCCTTGCTTCTAAATGATGTAGAGGAATGGGTTTTCAAATATTTCTTCCTTTTTGTTTTTTGAGTTTCTTCTTTTCTTTTCTCCTAGTTCCCTGCTATTATTTTTACGCCCTTTGTCAGCCATCTAGGTCAAGGAGTTTCTGGTTCCACCTTTGTTACTTGTTATTTTCTATTTCAAGTTTATGCTCTTTATCACCCATCTTTTTCTAAGGAGTCTCTGGTTCCACCTCTCTCGTTATTTTCACTTCCAATTTTGTTCTTTTTTATGGATAAATAGCGTTGATTTTTATCATAGATGGATACCAAATCGTTATATTGCAAGTATTATATGATATTTTTATATATAAACAAATATCACTTAATTAGTGTAGCTAAGCACCAGAATCTTATACACCCTTAATAATTTTAACATTTTAGTGCTTGGATCAACTTTTTTGGACCTTTTCATGAGATTGTGCTTGTTGGTTGGTGAATTTTCTTTGGTAATAATATTTCATGCACAAGCAATACTTAAAAAGGGAATAAAGGCATGACATATACACTAATATTGCTTATAAGTGTTAATTCTGTGATGATTCACATAACCTGTAGCATCCTAAGCATTGGATATATATCCTTTATATACAAGCACTAATTGTGATGATAATTGACATTATTAGTATTATTAGTAGCATTCATAAGAATTTACTATAATTTTATCCATTTTACCATGCTTTATTCTCCTTTAATCAGTTGTCTATCTAGTTTAGTAGGGCATCATGCATCTTATGATGTTTTTATCAGTCAGCATTAATATATATATATATATATATATATGTTTCATATTTAATGCTGATAATCAGTTGCTTTGATGTTTGTGTAAAGTTATATTATATATGTTATTCTAAATGGAGTAATTAACAATTATTTTCCTCTTGAAAATTTTGGTACAGATATGCAATGCATGAATTGGGCCTTTCATCACGAAAGCCCCACAAGAAATGTGCTAGAGTTGTTGGAGAGGTTACAATCCAACTACAAATCTTGCTTTTCCCATATTAAATGAAACATTGGATCAACGCCTCTTTGTGAGCTATTTATGTCTTACACATCATTACTTTCATTGTTTAATGTTTGAATTTTATTGCATTTATTTCAGGTTCTTGGTAAATTTCATCCCCATGGGGACACTGCTGTCTATGATTCCTTGGTCCGAATGGCACAGGTACCATTAGTTTGTTTTATGATTGAGCATCATATTAGAAGGGTTAGAACAAAATTGTGTAATTAACTGCAAGGCTGTTATTGCTATTGTAATGAATTTGCCTCCCAACACCTTAATGTAACATGGACTGCACTAGGTAATGTTGGATTTTTATCTTAGGCTCTCAGGCTCTGATAGTCAGATTATGCAGAGAGGGGTCTTTCTAGAACTAGAGGGGGGATGAATAGGTCTTGAAAGCTATTTTTAACAGAAATTGAAAAGTAAACTAACTTTCAAACTTTAACTAAACATAAAGCATGTCGAAACAGCATGATATACAATATAAAACATAAAAATATAAAACGAATCCCCACATGAATACAATTTTTATGTGAAAAGCTCCATTGTGAATCACATGATCTATCCAGGCAGATCAAATTCACTATAAAGAAAGGTTTATAACTGGTTTACCAGAGTAACCAAACTCAACTTGAGAATCCTCTAGTTACCTCTGACATAGACCCACCACAGACGTTTTCTAGTTAACAAATCTGCTCCTCATGCGATCTCCACCTCTTTTGGCACTTTGATATTCATAACTAGTAAACTCCTATCCTTCTTTGTTGTGTATAAGTTGCTTCTGGTGTTAAAATCCTTTATAGCACTTATCAAGAAAGAGAAATCTAAACCAGCTCCTCGGGTAAGAGACATATACTCCTTTTCAAGTTCACAACTTCCAAAAGTGGAAATGAAGATAGGATCTTAGCAGCTGAAGCAACTAATAAGCCAGCTCCTGCAAGACAGTAGGAAAATATTGCATCAGGGATTTCCCGCTCCGATCTTGATGACTTATTTTGGTATAAGAACAGAAGGCATTGAAAGGTCTGCTGGAACTGGCTTCATTGGCTCAATTGCTTGACCCTTTGAAAGCACCAGCCTCTACCTTTCGTTGGTGACAAGAAGATTGATTGACGCAACTTGAATAGCGATTCCTGTCTTTCTATCCCTACAACATGGGATTCCAAGCAATTGTCCTCCCATTTAAAATCACTTTTTTGGTTTCCAATAGGTGTATGGAGATGGATGCTCCGCTGGTGAACCTCTCATATCACAAATATCCCAAACCACTAAAGAGGCTGCAATGTTCTGATCAATTGGACAACAAGTACCCAAAGCAGCCTCCATCAGCTAGGCAGGTGGGGGTACCCAACCCTGTGGCTTCCATCGTCAGTTTGAAGGGCTATTCCCTATATTTGAGCAAGGGTCTTTCACGTAGGCCTGCAACCCACTTCCTCCTATGTGAAAGTCACCACCTGTAATGGAATTTCCATTTTTTGTTGAGGTTCACTGAATTGGGAGGATCTCATTGATTAGTCCAGGGAACACTTGCCATTCAGACACAACTCTGTATATGATATACCCCATGATCATTTTCCCTGACTTGTGCCGGAATTGCTCCTTTCAGGGCATGCTTCAATGAGATCCGTCACGAGCATACCTTCCCTTAATTACGTCTTCTATTCCACTAAGACTAGGAGGTAGGTTCAACCATTGATAGAACGAAAGAGGGTTTCATCGAGCAAGAGTCAAACTGACCCTAACAGTCTCATATAGATAAGCGCATTCTGAGCTTTCTGGACTTCTAGACACATACGAACGCAGAAGGCAAGAACATGTGAAGAAGACAGGATTGCGTGCTTGGAAGGAAGCGAAGCGTACCAAGTGGAGGAACCACTCGTCAGTCAAATTAGCCAATCAGTAAACAGGAGCACCCAACATTTTCATAGAACATGGGACATTACGTCTGGGCTTCATGAACGATCACTTGTTGGATCTGAGAATAAAGGGCGAAAAAAGCTTTACTTATGGGAAAAAAGAGGAATCCTTTAGAGCTCTTTAAAATTAATTGATCAATGCTCAAAGTTCACTCATCATCCAAGTGTATGATGATCTGTGAAATATTAAGAAATCTCTAGCAATTGGTTTGCTAGACTTCACTCAAAAACTTCTTGATGCTCAATATACACTTGTACGTGCTTCTCTTATGCTTGCATTTAGTTTTCTAAAAACCTAAGATGTCGAGCTGCTGGAACCTTTGAGTTTACCGATTCGCCCTTGGACAGAGGTAACTCTACTAACAAACTTACAAACCTAACTTTCGAATCATAAACATAATCTAGAATAAAACATGCATACCCAAGTTTCGTACAAAATTTGCCAACGCAAGTCTTAATTCCTAACAATTTCCCCCTTTGGAAATTTCGTGACAAAATTAATAAAATAATAAAAAATAGAAAATAAAAATTTTAAAAACTTGAATTTGTTGAGCTTCGCTTGGTGATGTTCTTCAATAGACATAAGTTGGAAAACACAAATCACACTATATGTGTGCATTTCACTATGTGAAAAACATATAATTCAATAAAACCCTTCATAATTCATGTACACGTACTTTTTCTATCATTTGTTCTCTTTTTAGTTGGGTTATGGGGAGAAATTGTATATCTTTAGATGAAATCGTGGACTTTTTGGGTTCTTTGGGTCCATGAAATCTTGGGACGTGTTCCCCTTTTGAACGCCTTAATACACTTTTACTTATCAAAAAAAAAAAAAAAAAAAATTTCATGTACACGGTACGGAATAAGATTCCATAACTCCCTCCCCCCCCTCCACGGTGAGTTCTTCATCTTGACCACCCTCCAAGCCTCATGGGTGTTCTGGAGCAACCCCATAGCCCGGTCACCATCCACCTCAAAAGTTACCACCACACATTTGACACCGCCATGTTCTCCGTCTCGCAATGCTCCCCATTTTCCCCAACATCAGCCATCAATACATTGCCCCCCTCCCTCTCGAGGTTCACCATAGCCAATGGGACCAAAATCCCTTCACATTCAGCCTCTTCCTTGTCTTATAGAGCTAATTCTGTGGAGCAATTAAAAGGATCACATGGCAGCCCCTCCCCAAACCCCCTTTCGGAATTTGTCGATTGACCCAACATGTAGGAGAGCAAGGTTCCACTGTTCTCTCTACAACCTCCTGGTCCTCAGTTATCTTTGGTTGATTCAGCCCCTTCAACTCTCTATGCATTCGTAGCTCTTTAATCAAGAGCCCTGCCATATCATCACTCAACCTGAGGTGATGGTCTCGACCCACAAACACTGTAACAGCTTCGACTTTGCTGCCACTATTGTTTGACCAATCTGAACAGGAACTTATCCTCTCCACCTCTTCCCCATGACTCAGTAGCTCACCTCCTCCTCCGAAATGTCCTTCATTGGCAAATCAACCATCGATGACAACCTGTCGGTCTGCACTGAAACTCCCTGCCCCTTGTGTCTCCATTGCACCAACTACCCCTTTGGTTCTCAGGAGTTGAGGTCGAACCAGAATAAATGAGAGGAGTAGATTGGGTTTCAGAACAGATGGGTTTGTTTTGGGCCTAACTAACCTGCATCTTAGTTGCATGCATGGACTGGTCTTAGACCCACTTTCCTTTCTCGCCCCAAGTCCATCGTCGAGATTAAAAGTTATGGGTCGACCACCTGGTGATGAGGTGGTCTCTCAAGGGTTGAAGTCGAACCAAAATAAACGAGAGGAGTAGATTGGGTTTCAGAAGAGATGGTTTTGTTTTGGGCCTGACTAACCTACATCTTAGTTGCATGCATGGGCCGGCCTTGGACCCACTTTCCTTTCTCGGGCCAAGTCCATCGTCTAGATTAAAAGCTTCAGTCTTCAACACTACCTGTATCTCTGGGTCGACCCACTTGGCGACAAGGTGGTCTAGCACTTTTTAGCATTGGGCATGTTTGAACTACCCGATAACCCAAATTTCTAGTTTGGCCCTATTGGTGACAAACTAATTTATTGTTTTTCTTCGCTGGGTTGACCCAGGAGGAGATGACCCAAGTTGGGATAGAGCAACTTGTCTTCCTGGCTTGCCCAGATGAGGCCCAATTTTGTTACGGGCTTCACCCACTTCATTTGGGCCTTTCAAATTATCTCACCTACCTAACTTTCTATGGGGTGGTATGGGGGAGGAATTCAAGTTCGATTTGGTTAATTGGGAGCAGGTTTGCACTCCGATTCGGAAGGGCGGTATGGGCATTAGAAGACTGGTGCCTTTCAATAAGGCTCTTTTGGGGAAGTGGCTCTGGAGATTTGGGGTGGAGAGGCATAGGTTGTGAAGGAGAGTTATTGTGAATAGATTTGGGGAGGCAAGAGGAGGTTGGTGTTCTTTTGAGGGGAGACTCCCTAGTGGAGGAGGGTGATTGGTATGAATTTTCCAAACACATTAGATTTCGAGTCAAGGATGGAAGGAGGATTTGCTTTTGGGAGGACAATTGGTGTAGCAATCCTTCTCTTGCCCTCACTTTCCGAGACTATTCCGGATTGCTACAGATAGACACGCCTTGGTGGTTGACTGCTATTGTCTTGATGATGGAAGAACAGTTTGGGATGTGCGTTTGTTGAGGAATTTTCAAGATTGGGAGATTGAGGATGCTTTTGGTTTTTTGGAGCTACTTTATCGCTGGGAGATAGCGTGTGAGGTTTCAGATGTTTGGGTGTTCCCTCTTCTAAGGGTCACTTTGATTTTCGGTCTTTTATCGGTGTTTGTCGGAAGCCCTAGTGATGCCCTTTCCTTGGAGAGCCATTTGGCGTTTGACGGCTCCTCTCAAAGTGGCATTCTTTGCGTAGAATTCTATTTTGGGGAAGGCCTTTACTCGGGATAACTTTTTTTTTGATAAGTAAAAGGAAAATAGTGGTCAATTGGTGGTCCAAGAATGATTAGGAAATGGTTGATCACCTCTTTTGCATTGCCAAGTGGCCCTGGAGTGTTGGATTTTGATGTTGGGTTTGTTTGGGGTTCAGTGGGTTATGCCCGGTTCTTCCAGAGATTTGGTTGAGGCTTGGAGAGGTTGATAGTGGGGCCCAAGTTCTGATTTCTGGAGGGTTACGCCTCTGTGCGTCTGGTGGTGTTTATCGATTGAAAGAAATAGGAGATCCTTCTAAGAAAAGGAGAATCCTATTGGAATGCTAATGTTCTCCATTATTAGTTCCCTTTTTGGTTGGGTTCTTGGGAGAAATGGTAAATCTTTGGAGGAGCTTGTTGATCTTTTGGACTCTGAGGGTTTAGGGGCCCTATTTGGTCTTGTGTAGTTTTTGAGGGTTGCGTTCCCCTTTTGAATGTTTTTTATACAATCTTTACCTATCAAAAAAAAGAAAAATTATCTCACTGACCTACTTTGGCATTGGGTCAATTTAACACCTTAGCGTCAAGGCTTGTAACTGCCCGCCTCCCAATCGGTCCTGCCCAACTTTGTTGCTTTAAAAAATCAGATGACCCTCCCCTAACAAATAAGGCATGTCTCCCTTTCAAAATTTAAACTCGTCAGCTAAGCTAGCTGTATCCCCACAATCTGGATAAGGTCCCATTTGTCCTCCAAGTGTCACCCCTATCCTGTCATCTTTACGACTTGCTGCTGGAGTGTGAAAATCACCCTGTCTTCTTCCATCTTCCATTCAAGCTCTCTACAACTTTCGACCATTCTTCCTTCTTTTGAGCATCCTTGTAGCACAATAGATCGTTGCAAATGAATAACGTCAGAGGGCAATCACTCCCATCACAAATCGTAAAGCGAACTTTTTTGGCATTTTTATCTCGGCAACTTCCACCCCACAAACCCTCTACACAAATCTCCGACTGTCACAAAGAAAGCATGACACCACAAGTGCAAGGGTAATCCATACAATATCACCCTCTTCAACACATCAGAAGAGCGCACATTGAAACGCCAGTCGCATCACCCCATTTTCTTTGACTGTCAATCAACACCCGAATGGCCTCAACATTAGAAGGGAGACAAAATAGAAGTAAAGAATCCGGCAATGGTGGAATACCAACCCCACATGAGATCTGCCATGCTCGGGATGCTCGGTGGGGGAGCGGCAGTATGGACACTCCAGAAGGAATACATGGTGTTTGACAAAATGTACCAAAGAATTTGTTTCGTGTCTCCAACTTCTCTGTCAAACTTACGCACCAAACTCACATGTGGATCATCTCTTCGTCTCCATATAGCTTCATCATCCAGCTCGATCGATGGTCCTCTCTGAGTTTGAGGTATCTTAACACCCCCTCCCTAAGAGAGACGAGGCAACCTCGCTACCTCCGCGGATGACTTCATTAACTTTAAGACATCAAAAGCAGTTGCGGCAACAGTATGAGGTCCTCTATTTTTAGTGATACTGAATCACCGCAGCACCCAAGGACTGAGGGAGTTCATGTCCAGGGGAGCCACGTTCCCTACCTCCCCTCCTATAAATTTTTTGTGAATATGTACAAAATGCCCCCTAATTTACAAAATTATTATTTTTCCCACCCCAAAAATATCAACCTCCCTCCCTCTCTCTCTCTCTCTATATATATACACACACACACCCCCATAATTATTATGTAAATATGTTTGTACAGTTGTTCTTGATTTTAATACATATATAAATTATTAGCATAACATCATTGTTTTTTTTTTTTTCCCCCTTTTGTTTCTGTGATTTAGATTTTTATTTAATCCTCCTTTACTTTTATAGAATTTTGTATATTATTTTCTATTTGTGTAAGGTATGCTAATATGTCTTATTTGTTTGCTACATAAATAAAAAAACTATCGTGAGTGAATTATTGTGCATTATTGACGAAGTAGATGTTAAATTGAGAATTATGCTAAGCAATTATCAAGTAAAAAAAAAATTATCAATCTCAAGTTGGAGAGAAAATTGAAATATTATTAATTTCTGTGTAAAGCTGCTATACAGCACATTTATATATACTTTTAAAGAAATTCTTAAAAACATAATGAATCCTAAAAACAATCCTATTTGGCACACTCTCTAAAAATAAAGAAAAATAAGAATATGAACCTAAATACTTAATTAAGATAATTACCGAAAATTGACTAAATCTAAGTTTCATTTGATTAGTAAAAAAAATTTTGAAAAATTTGATTGTCTTTTTAGAACACTGAAAAATGAAAAAAAAAGGAAAAAGGACCTAAATGATGGAATTTGGACAGAAATTCACGTAGTTCAATGTGTCCCTCCCCCCTCCCCCCCCCCCCCCCCCCAAAAAAAATAAATAAATAAATAAAACAACACATTCAATTTTCTGGAACAATCCCTGGTGGCACCGGAGGTTACCAAGAGAAACTGTGTCAATCAAGATAGAAGGTACAAGTAAGGTTCTAAACCATCTAAATGTCTGCTGATGAATGAAAACAAAGAAACCTCTAGCATCTGGATTGCTAGAATTCACTCAAGACACAATTTGATACTCAATATATGCTTCTCTTATGCTTGCATTTTGTTTTCTGAAAACTTAGGGTGTCTATCTAGAACATTGAAGCAGGGAAGATTAGGTTTTATAGAGTTTGAGTTATATTTGGAATTTTTTCTTCTGGTTTTGATTGATTGTGACTCAGGTTCAATCAATCAATCCTAGTCTTGTGAGTTTCGTTGGATTCTTTGATCCATCAAACTCCACTGTCCTGGTTCAATAAGGATTTGAGTATTGAAGCTGTTTCATGTTCAAAGTGTATTTTCATGGATCAGGATATGTAATTTGGAAACCCTAATATGTTTAATGAAATAAATGAATGCATATGAATTCTAATTCTGGCGAGTGCATAATTTCAAAGTTGATTTTACCTTTGTGTCCTTGTTGAAGCTTTGAATTTACCATTTTGCCTTTGGACAGAGGTAACTCGACTAATTAACTTACCAAACTTTTGAAACATAAACAAAATCTAGAATAAAACATACAAACTCTAGTTTTGACCGAAATTTGCCAACATAAGTCCTATTGACCTAACAGACCTTTTTTTATATTGGCTTCCATTGGTTTTATTCATATATTTTGATTATATAATCAGGATATAATGAAGGGGCTGAGGCTATGTTCCCTCTACCAAAGTCGCATGCCTGATTTAGTGACCAATTTATCTGCAGAGATCATCAGTACCCTTTGGGAGGCTAGGAATGTTAAATGATTTAAAAGCCTGATGAGAAATACATGCACTTTATGATGTGCATGGTTATATGTAGGATGCAATATAACTATGTTGATACTGTGGTTTGTCCTGTAATATTCTATTTCACTGCGATGATAATCATTGCAGTATAATGAATGTAAAACACTGTGTCCGTTGTCTATTAGTGTGTTTGCAGAAGAAAGGTATGCAAGAAACATTATACTGTTGGACTTAAATCATGCCTCTTAGTTTCTTTAAATTATTGACTTCCAGTTTTCTCTATAATCCATTTTGCTCTTGCGTCTGGTTTGGTAACGCTTTTTATACAATCTTTACAGCATGTGTTGGGAAAGTGGGGATATGACTTTCTGTGCTTGTGTTTATGACATATTTCCTCTTTGCTTGCATGTGAAATGGTGAATTCTTTCTATAGCTATATCTTAGTTTCTAGTTTTTTCAGCTCTCCTGATGTTGATTCAGATCCATATCCATTGTATTATTATGAAATGTGGGATTAGTAATTGAATTATAGTTCTCATTCATTGTTTGGAAACTTATATGATCTACTTTCTTCCAGGATTTCTCCTTACGCTGCCCACTCATTCGAGGGCATGGGAATTTTGGTTCAATTGATGCGGATCCTCCCGCAGCAATGCGTTACACGGAGTGCAGATTGGAAGTAGGTTTAGCTCATCCGAATTCTTTTTATAAACTATGCGAACTTCTTGTATTTTATGGTCTAAAAGAAACCAATTATTAGTGCTCCAAATGTCTTCTGTTGCGAATGGGGTACACTCCTGACATTCATTGGTCGTAAATGTTTCCTCGGCCATGCCAATTGGATTTGCATTCCTTCACTTTGTTAAGTTATTTATGAACAGTATTTATGATTAGCCATATTTCTTGTGATGTAAGAATGAAAAGTTCTACTGCAGTGCATTGAATGGTGTTCTAGATTTGTGATTTTCTTATTTGCTTGAGTTACTAATATGCAACAGGCATTTAAGGGATTCACCAAACTCTGGGTTTTACTTTTTTCAGGCACTTACAGAAGCAATGCTATTGGCTGATTTAGATCAAGATACAGTCCGTACTTCTCCTTAAATCTTCTAGTGATTTATAATTCCATGCATTAATTTCAGCTCATATTATATGTTTGATTTTTTGCAGGTTGACTTTGTTCCAAATTTTGACAATTCTCAGAAAGAACCATCACTTTTGCCTGCCCGGATTCCGAATTTATTATTGAATGGTTCTTCTGGGATTGCGGTAATTCATATAAATACACTTTTCGGAATTTACTACTTAAAGTTTTCAGTTCTAAAGTTCTTTCCTTTCTCTATTATACCTTTTCCCTCTTCCTCTTGTTTCCCGTAAGTATTTAAAAAAATCGCGCACACAGTTTATTTTCTGAAGGAGGATCAGATTACTGAATCTAGCGGTGCTTCATAATTTCAGGTTGGAATGGCAACAAATATTCCTCCTCATAATCTCGGAGAGTTGGCGGATGCACTATCGGTGTTGATTCATAATCCTGAAGCAACGGTAGATGCTTAATCTTTCAATGATGATTTTAGTGTGGATGTTATTTTTTTGTTCTTTTGAGAGTTGTTGTTTTCTTTTTCTTTTGGGATTGGAAAGAATGAAATTTGATTCAAAACATGTTTTTGGTGATCCACTGTAATCTTTTACTTTTTTTTTTTGAAAAGTTATCATGACGGGCTGTTGTCATGGGTCTACCAACATGTATCAACTTCTGACTCACTAATAAGCCAAGGTTACAATAAGCAGCTTGGTTGAAAACGAACCCATTATTAGGATCTTTGAAAGAACTTTTATGTATTTTTTAAAAATAACTTCATTTAAGAGCTGGAATGATTCTTGGAACAGTTGCTTTCAAAGTTTTCCTCATTCATTATTGAGTTGTTTGGAAATGAAAACCAAAAATGAAAGAGCTCTTATTTATGTTATTAAATTCTGTGGTGGTCAATGGTCATTTATTGTTTACAAGATTGAGGAATCAGTGCTGCATCCCATAGCAGACCTGTAGAAAAACAATTTTAGACGTACACCAGTGAAGATTACCTGATTTTATGAAGTAATGTGTTTATATATGTTACAGTTATGCTGCTTTTCTGTCATTTTATGCTGCATTTTACAGCGATCAAATTAGTTCCATTCAAGGATCAGTTGCCATAAAAACTTGGTTTTAATTACATGTTGATCAATTGTATCCAATTCCCTTTTTCTAGGAGTTATTTATTTCAGGAAATAGACCTTGAATGTTTTTACTGATATTATTGTTTTAATTTTTTTTAACTTTGCTACTGTAAGAGATAATATATCTAACCCAATAAAAAAAAGAAAGAGATGATTCTCTAAATTTTAAGATATCAAGTCAGCATGCTCATTTTGCTTGAGAATCGTCAGTAAGTAGCTGTTTCAAAACTCACCCTCACATCTTTAATGAGATAGATTGAAACTTGTGAAATAAGGATCACTGTCTCGATGATATTATCAAAATTAGAATGCTGCTATGGCTTGTCAACTTAACAACTTGGTCAGTATGTTGCATTTCTTTCTTTCTTTCTTATTTTATTATATTTTTAATTTTTAATTTTTAGGATGAGGTTTGTCATCACTCATCACGAAAGGAAATATGATCTGACCAAATGTTTAATTCTTTTTGGGATAGAAAAAAGTCAAAAACTTTTTTCTCTCTCTCTGTCACTTTATGTTTGTCTCCTCTCCAAGTTTCACTACTGTTTGCTTTGTAATAGCTGCAAGAATTGCTGGAATACATGCCGGGACCTGATTTTCCAACTGGAGGAATAATAATGGGTAATATTGGGTATGTTGAGCTTATCTTTTTTCCCCTGAAACATTCAATGGGAAGATATTTTTTTTATCACATTTTCTAATTGTAAAAACTCATGCAAGCATCCAATTGGAAATGTATAGTTGTTACGTCATGTACTTTTATGCTTAAAATTTTCTCTACCCATGTCTTGCAAAGTTTTCTGATTAAAAATATTGAATAAAACGAAATAGATTAAGTTTGAGATATACTAATGACTTATCAAAAAAAAGAAGAAGAAGTTTGAGATATACTAATGTGGCATGATTTAAGTAAATGTAGGAGAAAAGTAAATACTTGGTGGTAGTGGATGTTTGCTGCTGTTGTGTGTGTGAGTGGAAAGTTCTTATGTGTGAAAACCATGTCGGGAGGGATCATGAACCCACATTTGATCAAATAACCTCTTGCATTATAAACAGGTAAAAAACATCTATTTACATGGTAGTTCTATCTGTCTCTCCCTCCTTGCGTAAGAAAAAATTGTAAAAGATATGCTGGGCAGATACAAGGGGCATACCCTGGGGCATAAAAAGCAACAACGAAGCCCAGGGATTCTAACAATTTTATAAAAGAATGGACAAACAAAGAAACCTAACAACTGCAACTAATAACCTTTAATGACCATTAGACAAACTGACCAACTAAACCCATCATATAGCATATTGCGAAATGGGACTTAAAACAATTAGGGTTACAGGTTACTGGAATTATCAAATGAAACATATCGAGTACTTACTTGGATAAGAAGTCCTTGCTACCTAATGGATGACCTGTATTTGAGAATGACAGTCCATAATGCTATTCAATATACACCAACAAACTGATTGAGTTAAGTAGACCTAGTCAATATGGGAAATACATCTTTTATACCATTAAGCTCGAGCAAGAAGAAAGCCAAAGGGGAACTGAAATTTCTGGAGTGTCAGGCAAAGAAAACTGCATCAATGCACATTAGTTGAGAAGACACTATGAGGTAGAGCCGGAATGTGGGCAATATGCCTGTGGGAATCCTTGCTCTTGATTCAATGAGCACATTTCTCTCCAATAAGGTCGAAAAACTCTTGTTGAATGTGCAAGAATTAAAAAATTGAACGCTTTTACAGGTGTTCAAATTTCGTCAAATTCTCTGGCAGTTTCTATGTAGTTATGAAGACATGTTCTTTTTGAGACATTATGATTCCTTTGATATCCAAGGCTTTAGCTATTCTTGCATCTTTGATGTTGGAGAATTTTGTGATGTCTCCTTAAAATTCCTTTGAATTCTGAGCACCTGCTTAATATGTTTCCTCCTAATCCACTGAGACTCGTATATGTAAACCTTATTACTACTACCTTTGAATGGTAGCCATGTAGCACATAATTTTGTTATCTATCTTAGATATTTGCATGCATGTTTTTCTGACACAGTCACCTGCATGTGTAAGTTGCCTTTTCTTTTTACCTTTTTTTTTTTATATATTATTTATTTATTTATTTATTATTTTTTTTTATCACTTTCTTTTTCATATGACCTTTGGATTTTGTAAATCCACTATCAACTGTGATGAGTTTTCTGATATTTAATCATTTATCAAGCATCTTGGAGGCATATCGAACTGGAAGAGGACGTATCATAGTTAGAGGGAAGACGGAAATTGAATCGCTTGATTCTAGAACCAACCGAAGTGCAATTGTTATAACAGAGGTTGCTACTTGGGCTTTTTTGTGTAGTAATTAGATATACATATTCATTTTCAAAATGTTGGTGAATTGAATTATATTCATCATAATTCTTTTTGAAGTTCTCTTTTGTCAGTTATGATTTTATTTTTGGTTTTATGAATGAAATAGATCCCATATCAGACTAACAAAGCCACTCTTGTTGAGAAAATTGCCGAGCTTGTGGAAAACAAGGTACTCCTTTTTTTTTTCCCCGGTTTTCTTTGTTTTGTTTGTTTGTTTTTTTTTTGATTTGTTTTGTTTATGATGAGTAACTGGTAATTGTTCATATTTCATTTGTCTTCCTTTAAGGCAATCTGGCAATAGTAAAATTTTCATTAGTACTCGATGGTGTTCATCTCTTATTCTTACTTGGGACAGTTGCTCCTGGTTGCTGTATTTTTTATTGTTTTGTCTTGTGATGACTTGCTTTTTATGTTCATTGATGCATATGGTAGGTTGATGAATTGTTGCAGAATTATGTTGTTTATCTTTGTGACTCATCGCCCCTTTTTTACTCAAACTTGTGATTAGGTTATTTTTAAAGTGTCACACATTATTAAGTTTCAAAATGACGTGTTCTTCTGATTGACTATTAGTTGTGAATTTTTACTTTTTCGCATTAGTGCTCTTACTCAACATGTTGTACACATTAAAAAAGCCCTCTCCAACTTTGTAAGTATTTATCCACTATCCAGCTTCTAGTATCATGGTACAGTAGAATGCCGAATGCCTTTGGTTTGTTTGGTCATCTTACTTTTCTGCATGATGATCTAGTCCTCTTATACTGTAAAATTATTGATGTTGCAATTGGTGAGGCATGGCTAAATTATCCATCAACAATATTTGTTGGAGGAAAAATATTTGTTTGTGATTGGGAGCAAAAAGGCTTAGTTATTGATGTCGAAGCAGGAGTGAGAATAACAAAAACGAAACGTCCTTAGTTTTGATTGCACTTTTTGAGCATATGGCTGCAAGCATATTTTTGTATGAATCTTTGTGTGATGTGTCTCGTGTCACTCTCTTCTGGTATCAGCGTAGTGGTTAAGTTGAAGGACCATCATCTAGTAGATGTAGACATTTCCACCAATAAGCATATGCCGCAAAATAAGTTTTATTTATTACCTTTTCTTAATAGGGAGCGGCAATTATTGTTAAAAAATGAGAAACAATGTGCAAAGGAGGGATACCCTTCAAGAAGCTTGCAAATGTCTCAATTCAATAAAGGGGGAAAACAGACACTTCAGACATGGCCCAGAAAATGTCTTCTAATCTAGCCTCCCAGTCACCTAAAGTTCTGCTGCACCATTGACCCCATTAGAAGTGACCTAGAGAAGTGTTACATTCCTCTCAATACTCAAAATTGCTCTTGTATAATCCCAATACTTTCAGTGCCCTTGCTTAACTGCTTCTGCTTTGGATATCATTGCTGAGGAATTGCCTTGTACTAGGATGCCCCAAAGGTCTATTTGGGTCGATGTGATTTAGATTTAGAATCTTTAACTTATCCATATTCGTTGCACACTGTATCTAGACTTGTAAATGGATCAGATCACGGTCAATCTATCTGAATCCGATAAGCATAATAGGTGATACGATCTGATCCATTCCGATAATCCAATGGATTTTTATTTACTGAATCCATATCCGATATTTTTTTTGATAAGTGAATCCATATCCGATATGAACTTTATCGGATGTCCAATCCCACAAACCCGATCCATTTAAACTATATATTGTAGAAATCAAACACAAAATCTCGGCATAGCATGGGTTTACTGAAAATATGCTTGGTAATATCCAGTTAACAGGTAGAATAAAGAGGATCACAACTTTTTGTACCAGTGAGATGAAATACTGGATTTTATACTTCGTTAAAGAATGAAAATCACCATAAGGAGAGAGAGAGAGAGAAAGGGGGGAGGAGGGGGGGGGGGGGGGGGGGGGTGGAGAAGAGGGGAAAAAAATATAAAATTACTTTGTGTGAAAGATGAAAAATTAGGGCTTGTGATGGAGAAGAAGAAAAGGAGAAGAGAAGGAAAGGGGAAAAAAAAGAATACTCACTGTGCAAGGGTTCTTCCACTCTTTCTTTCTCCTTATCATCCCAACCCAAAACTTGCTCTTAAATAATTCTTAAATGTAAAATTTGCCACTATTTTTGTGGTTTGCTTTACTTGATGTCTTTTCTTTTTTCTAAATAAGTACTGCTTTACTTGAAGTCCTGACTTGGCAATTTATAATTTATACATTAAATTATTATCTTAGTTCCAAACTGAACTGCAATCAATGCATGTGCTAACTACAAATTTGTTTGGTTATGTTTAGAGTTTGGATGGCATAAGTGATATTCGTGATGAAAGTGATCGGTCGGGGATGCGTGTAGTCATTGAGGTAAACTAATTATCAGTGCTATTCCATTTATTTTCCATTTTCTCAGGACTACTGTGGTCAGCGCTCAATTGAATACAAAGGTTATGCACGGGGGCAACTTTTTGATTTTATTTTTATTTTTTATTTTTGATAAAGTAAATATTGGTAATGACTAATTTATTTCTTTTGAATTACAGCTTAAACGGGGATCGGATCCATCAATTGTTCTGAATAACCTGTATCGCCTTACTGCTCTCCAGTCTAGTTTTAGTTGCAACATGGTGGGGTGAGTAGTTTCCACATCTTTAATAGCTTTTACTTATAAATAGAAAAATATCTTCAAGTCCTTAAGAATTACTAAACTTTTGTATGAATAAGAAAATGACGTACCCTCATTTTACGTTCCTCTAATGTCAAGCATGATACTGCAGGTTCAAAATGTGAAAGTAGCTACTTTGTGCAAATAATGCCGAAGATTAGGTTTGTATCTAGTCCATCCACCCTCCCCGCACTCCTTTGATTGACAAGAACCGCAAATTTTTTTTTTTTTTTTTTTTTTGATAAGTAAAAATTTATTAGAAAGCGTTCAAAAGGGGAACGCGTCCCAAAAGCTGTACAAGAACGGAGAAAACAGAAAAAAAAAAAAAAAAGGGGAAGGGGAGGACCTGTGGACCCAAAGACCCCAAAAAGTCCATGATCTCATCAACAGATAAACAATCTCTCCCCATACCCCAACTAAAAAGAGAACAAATAATAGAAAACTTCAACGCCCCAATGGGGATCTCCTCCCCAACAAAGGATCTTCTATTATGTTCTTTCCAGAGACACCACCAAATATAAAGGGGGGTCACCCTCCAAAAATCGCGAACACGAGCTCCACCCTTTGGCCCTCCAAATATCAATCAAGCCCCGTGAGGTCCAGGGCATAACCCACTGGACGCCAAAAAGACCCAAAATAAGACTCCAACAGTCATAAGCCACGGGGCAATGCAAGAGAAGGTGATCCACAGATTCTCCATTAATTATACACAGACAGAACCAGTTAACAATGACTTGTCTTCTCTTCCTCAAATTGTCCAGAGTCAAGATCTTACCCCAAACAACAGTCCAAGCAAAGAAGGCCACCCTAGGAGGAGCATTCGATTGCCAAACCGTTTTTCACCGGAAAGTGGTACCGTGATAACCGTAAAGGCAAAAAAAGAAGGACCGGACTTGAAAAATCCCCTGCGAAGAAAGCATCTAAGTCAAGGAATCCGAACTAGTGTCGTCCACCTCCTGTCTATACAAAAGGTCCAGCAAGCCAGTGACGTCATCCAACTCCCAATCCTGAAAGGATCTCCAAAACTGAACATCCCAAGACAACCTACCGCTATCAAGGCGATAATAGTCAGCAACCAAATCATGTCTATCCACAGCAATCCTGAACAACCTTGGGAATAGGCAAGACAAATGACGGTCCTCGAAAACCGCAATCTAAGCACAATCTACCTGACAAGCTGCTCTCCTATTACGTTGAGGCTCACCAAGACCACCCACCGCTTCCGATCTATCAAACTCTGCAATGTCAAGGAGGGCCCTATTCTTCCTCCACTCCAGATTACCGAACACCTCCTTATTCCATCTTTTGAGTTTATTCTTTAGAAGGCGAAGCTTTCATACTAAGATAAAACTCGATGTTCCCACCACCATGTCCTCCTCACACCAAGACCGCACCATACCTTGAAAATCCACTGCTCCAAGCCACATGTTCTCAAATCTGAAAGGGGTACAACGAGGTCTCAAACCTCCACAGTCCAAGACCAAAGGAATGTGGTCCGACGTCACCCTAGCTAAAACAGCCTGAACTGCGTTTGAGAACTTCTCCTCCCACTCTCCAGAGATCAAGAATCTATCCAGGCGTGAAAGAGTAGGCGTCTCCCTACCACTAGACCAAGTTAAATCAGCTCTCTCTAAAGGAGATCGATAAGCTGATGTCCATCAATAAACTCTGAAAAGTGCATCATAGCCGGAGTCCATGGATCTCTCCGATGGGGATCTAACCACATTAAAATCACCTGCCACATCCCCTTCACCCCATTAAGCTCATTCCACAGCACAGGCCTCTCACAATCATCCACTGGCCCATAAACACCAAAGAAGGCCTAAGAGAATCCATCCTCATCCATCGCAAAGGCGCAAGACAGAGAGAAACGCCCCCTACAAACATCCACCTTTGCCATCCATCTCCTATCCCACACGAGAAGAATGCCTCTAGAGGTCCCTACTGAATCCAGAGCCTCCCACTCAACGAACCTACTACCCCAAAGACTCTTAACCACTCTATCAGTCATAGAATCAATCTTTGTTTCTTGGAGACACACCAGGTGAACCCCCCATTTCCTCATTGCCATCTTCACCACCTTCCTCTTGCCCGGGTCATCGAGGCCACGAACATTCTAAGATAAAAGTCGTAACTTCATGAGGAAACAACACCACCCGCCTCCCCCTTACCCCTCCCTCCCTCCCTCCCTCCTTATCGCTGCCCCTTTCCTTCTCCCCCACAAGTTTCCCATCATAGTCAGAACAGAGATTTCTCAGCTTCCTCTCCCCTCTCCAAGAGGGATGGGTCTTCTTCCTTCTGTTCCTTCTTACAGAAAATTGAATCATCTCCCCTTCTCTCCCCTCCACCGTAGTCTGAAGAATTGCTAAGGTCTGATCTCGATTGCCTTTACAAGAGGCACCCAGCAGATCACTAGTGGCCCCCAGCAGATTCCTTGCCTAAGTCACCACACTCCTGCCTATCAAGATCATTGTCCATACTCTCCGGACGCACAACCGCCAGAGGATCAACTAACCCCAGATCAGAGTGACCCTCCTCCTCCCACAAGATCATATCAAGAGACCTACCCTGGTCATCCCGGCTTCCATCAACCTCCCCTCCCTCAATCTCCTTAACATCATCAAAACAAGACTTCCAGTCAAAAACATTGTCCACCCCACCGTCTTGAGCACCAGTGAAAGGATCTGGATCACATGAAGGCAAATCATCTGTCTGACACCTATGCTTCTGTAATTCCTTCACCAACAAAGAGGCTGATTCCTCACTAAGAGTTATAAGGATATCCTTGCCCACACATACAGTCATCATATTTTGCAAACTAACCGCCTGAGATGACACCAGTGCATCACCCTTGGGTAAGCACAAACCCACACGAGTCTTAGCCAGCCCACCCAGCTCATCCCCAGACGTACCATACTGAAGAGTAGAGGAGGAAAAATCACAGTTACGGTCAATACCCCCATCCATTGTGGACTTTTTTGTTTTCTTCGGATGCGTTTCCCTTTTTGAACGCTTTCTAATACATTTTATTTATCAAAAAAAAAAAAAAAAAACTATTTTTTGTTGGGTTATATGGAGAAATGATAGATATTTAGAGGAGATTGTAGATTTTTTGGACTCCTTGAAAGTTTAGAAGCCTTTTTGGCCTCGTGCTTGGGATACACTCCCCTTTTGAGCGCTTTTTATACATTTTTCTTATAAAAAAAAATGTCACTTAGTCGAATTTTGAGGTGGGTATGTTTGATTTTATAATTCAAAGACTATTTTTATATTTCTGGTTCTATTTGTAATTGGGCATCCTTTTTTCTATCAATCAATTAGTTGTCGGACAGTCATTAATTTCTGCACGTAATTTCTAGGTTCAACTGAGTTCATTTTATTTATCTACAAAAAAAAATAAATTTGAGATGGGTATCTGTTGACGTTGCCTTGGAGAGCGTACCTAGCCAATGTGACAGAAATTATTGTTAGGATCGACCAATTTAATATTGGTGATTATGGATTTACTAGTTTTTAGAATTGATTAGTCTCTTAAAACATAGTTGTTGAAGGATTTTTATATTTAAGTTACCCCCTCTCTAACAGCTTAAGCTTTTAGAGTAGATGGTTGTTAATATGGTATCAGAGTAGGCAAGGTCTTGTGTTCAAGCCTCACCGTAACCCTGAAAATTAAAATTGAAACATGTGTTAGACCCAAAGAAGGCCACACGTGAGGGGGCATGTTGAAGGATTTATATATTTAAGTTACACACTCTCTAAGAACTTAGGCCTTTGGAGTAGATGGTTGTTAACAATAGCTAATGAGAATCTTTGGTTATTAGTTAAATCAAATGGTCTCAGAGGCTTCACATAGCTAAAATGAGGATGTTAAGGTGGTTGATAAGAGTCACTTGGAAAGATAAGAGTTATTAATTAAAGCTTGAGAGAGATTATAGGAATAACGCCTATTAGTAACAAAATAATAGACTTTGGTGGTATGGACACACATAACATATACCGGTTGATGCACCCGTTGGAAAGGGAAGAGTAGTTTGCATAGAAGGTAAGAGAATGTAAGGACGACGTGGGGGTGTGGGATGAGTTCTCTAAGCATATTAGATTCAGAGTTCGGGAGGGAAGGGACGTCCGATTTTGGGAGGATACTTGGTGTGAGGATCGCCCATTGTCTTGTTTGTTCCCAATGTTGTTTAGGATTGTTGTTGATAGACATGCTTTGGTAGCTGACTGTTATCGACTCGATAGCGGTAGGTTGTCTATGGATGTGCGATTCTGGCGATCCTTTCATGATTGGGGGTTGGACGACGTGACTGGCTTGTTGAACCTTTTGTATAGACAGGAGGTGGATGGTACTAGTTCGGATTCCTTGACTTGGGTGCCTTCTCCGTAGGGGACTTCAACTCCGTTCCTTTTTCTCTGTCTCTTCGGGTTTCACGGTCGAATTTCCCGTGGAAAATGGTTTGGCATTCGAAGGCTCCTCTTAGGGTGGCTTTTTTTGTTTGGATTGCAACTTGGGGCAAGATTTTGATTCTGGACAATTTGAGAAAGAGAAGACAAATCATAGTCAACTTGTGTTTTCTGTGTAAGAATGATGGAGAGTCTGTGGATCACCTTCTTTTGCATTGTCCAATGGCTCATGACTGCTGGAGTCTTATTTTTGGCATGTTTGGCATCCAATGGTTTATGCCCCAGACTTTAATGGATTGGATTGACGTGTGGAGGGGCCACAGGGTGGGGGTTCATACTCATGACTCTTGGAGGGCGACCCCCTCTATGTTTGGTGGAGTCTTTGGAAAGAGCGGAATAGAAGATCTTTTGATGGGGGAGGAATCCTCCATTGGGACGTTGTTGAAGTTTTCTATTATTTGTTCTCTTTTTAATTGGGTGATGGAGAGAATTTGTATATTTTTAGATGAAATCGTGGACTTTTTGGGTTCATTGGGTCATAGGACTCCCTTTTTGGTTTTGGTATTTGTTTAGCTCTTGAGACGCGGCCCTTTTGAACGCTTTCTAATACAGTTTTACCTATAAAAAAAAAAAAGAGAAAGTAAGGACGACCAAAACTAACATGGAATGGAGTAATTAAAAATGATCTTAAACATTAAATATTATAGGAGATATGGTGTATAATATAATAGAATGGAAAAAGATAGTCCATGTGGAATACCCCATTGATTTGGGTGAACGACAATGCAATACTATCTGTGCGGATTTCTCAACGGCACCAATAAGAAGTGCAATACAAATAAGATTTATGGCATTCAATCTCATAGTGCGAGAAATCCAAGGATGATGATGATAGTAATGAAATGGTCTCAGCGCTCTACTACCTCTACCACTTCCTGCTTTCTTCTCCTGTATTCCAGTTTGATGCTCTGCATCTCATCTTCTTTCTCCTCTCTTCACCATAGTGGAAAGGTAATTTACAAATTTAATTTATATTTAATTTGAATATTAAATATTTAATGAAAACTATGTAAAATATTAGTTATATTATATATATGTTGCATTGGAGTGGAAATGTAGGTTTGCACTATTACATTTGGATAATTTTTCAATTTAAAACAATTTGCTATTTGTAAATGCACAATTACATATTTTTCAAAAAATTATAATTTGTAAAAGCATAATATTCAATTATATGTTTTTTTTTTAAAAAAATGTTACATAGTGTACTATATATAGAAATACATGCGTGTATAATAACATTTGCAAAGAACAAGTGAAAGGGCATTTTTGTCCATGGAAAAGAGTTCTATAGGGGTAAATTGATAAAACAACTTGTCAAATAGCCTTTTCACAATGTCGATGGGCATGGAGGTAATTTCGCAAGATGTCAATGCTTTGGCACCATGTCCAGCTAACAGCAAGGGGTGTTGGTGTAACATGGAGCAAACATTGGGGAGCGTGGGTACCATGCGCCAAAACCTTAAAATCTACAAGTAATTACAACTTACCTCTGTGGGTGTCAGTAATTAATCACATTAAATGACCGAAATAGCAATAAATAAAACTTTGATTTTATAAATGCCTAATTTTTCTATGTTTGCCCCTTCTCCAAAAGTAAGGATAACCACATGCGCTTCATGTGTGCAAGTCCTATCTCAATCTTTGTCAAGGTCTAGCTTCAATCCTCCTCTCCTAGCAACTCGAAATGGTGACGGGTTCAGCACTAGGTTATGACCTATTTAAAAACCCTTCTATTTTCTCTTTCTTGTGATCTTTTGACCTCCAAAATTCTCTTGATTTCATTTCAAAGAACCGTAGTAGCTTGATCTTCAGTTTAATATAATTTGTAAGAGCTTTCCTCTCCCTCTCTCTCTCTCTTAGGTGGTCAAAACTTTTAATTTTAAAATGAAGTTGCCTTTTGACTTTACCTGCATCAAAATTCTCTCTCTTCTTTACTGTGACCATAATAAGCCAATTTTTTTAATATCTGTGATATTTTATGATTGCTAAGGAGACAATTATCTCACTTTGAGTTCTTATTTAGTAATTCTTTGTCATGTTGCTTGTTATAAAATAGTTATGTGCCACTAGCCGTTAGACCTTAATTATAATGCATATTAAAGTAAGCTCATTTTTTTTTTTGATAAGTATTCAAGTAATTTCATTTTATACTGTTAGAATAGTTATACGCGCAACAATTGGTTTTTGAAGCTCTCCCTCTTGTTACTCTCTTCTTTGTGACGGAAAAGGAAAGATGTGTTAACTTAAAAATTAGGGAGAAGGTTTGGTTTCATTTTAAGAGTGGCATTAGTTCAGCTTATTCTGAAAAACATCATTTTGATTTATTCTTCCTTGGTGATGAATTATTTTCATGATACTCCACATCATTGGTTTCTCTCTTTGAAAGTCCTTGTTTCAGTTGTCTGCCATTGATGCAACATGTTACTTTCATTGTGACTTTTAGACCTCTTCTTATTTCTTCGACCTAATCACTTAATGCAAAAGATACTTATATTGTGACTTCATTGGATCTCTCCTTATTTGTTTAACCTGTTCACAGTATTCTCAACGGGCAACCTAAACTAATGGGCTTGAAGGAAATGCTCCAGGTGACAAGTGTTACTTGCTGCACTCTCTCTCTCTCTCTCTCTATATATATATATATATATAGTTTATGTGTGCATATATATGCTTATGCATCACAGTATTGCGGTCTTGTTAGTTCTTTGGTTAGCTTCATCTGCCAAGGTTCTTTTTTGTTTTCTTTTTTCTCTTTCAATGCAATTTCTTGATGGGAAAAAATTGTTTCCGTAGTTCCAACTTCAATTCTAAACATGTATGCATCAATCTTTGAACATATTAATGATCACTTACTATGTATATATTTATATATATATATATATGTATACACACTATTAATTGTACAAATCTTTATCAGTTTAGGCGTAAACAATTGTATAATAAGTTATTATTAATTTTTAATAAGCAATTTTATGTGATATATAAGAAAATAATGCAAGATCAACTTGCCTGAAATTTTTTTCTAAAAGGTTTCTTGGACTCTCTTCCCAAAGATTGTATTTCTCCTCTCAATTCTCTTCAGGCAATTGCATCCAATAACCCATAAATTTATTTAGCGAGTATTTGTAGTAGTTGATTATTGGGATGGTTGGGTATAATTGTAACATACTCAATTAAAATAACATATCCCACTTAGTGGTAACCTCAAATTACCTATTTGACCCTCACTATTTTAAAGATCTATTAGATATATTTTAGGGGTGTTCCACTAGAGGAGTTTCAGAACAAATAAGCACTCATCTGCACGTATTCTTGGATGAAGAAGTGATTGGTCTTTATAATTCTGAATGGATTCATTTGTCTTTTCTACACACATACCTTTTCATGTAAGTCTATGTTCATTAAAATTCACATTTAGTAAAGGTTGTGTAAATTCGAAATAAACACTTTTAGCTATTATTAATAATAGAATGATACAAAACGTTCAAAATGACCAACAGGCCAGTGGCCTAGCGGTACCAAGCCCCTACTTCCCAAAGGGAGGTTAGGGGTTCGAGCCTCATGTGTGTGTGAGTGCCTACTAAGAAAAAAGAAAGCTTCAAAATGTATATAAAAATAAAAAATTCTTCTGAGTAGTATAGATATAGATATATCAGTACTTGACAAAAATTTGGTTAAAACTCTGCCTTCTATTCAAGTTCAGATGGATGTACTTCAACTCATATGGTTACGGGCCTAAAGACCCGAACACTTGTTTGAATGGTTGTGAATGAACTTTTCAAAGTATTTTTCCTCTCTCTCTCTCTCTGCTTTTTGCTTTAAAATTGGACTTTTGAGCACTATGTTAGCTTTGTGTATGATTATTCAGTCTATGTTATTGTACAAGTAGGTAACGGAAATTTTTATGTGGTACCTATGATTTTTTTAGAAAGAAGTTTATAAGGTGTTTATAAACTTTGTTGGCGGTGGTAGAGGGTGTGATGCTTATTCTATTTCATGGGGAATAGAAACATTGCCTTTTGGTTTTCTTTCTTTTACTTCCTTTTTCTAGCGTAATTTGCGCTTCTCTTTTGCGTCCACAAGGTGTGTGAAATCTATTATATAATTTCTGTACTTTACACTATTCTCTTACTGCCATAATAATCTTCTTGCCATAACTCAAAGGATGGAAAAGCACACGAGTTACCGGATATATACTTCTTACTGTGTATATTACTCTGTTGCAAATTCTTCCTTTTAACTTCTGTTTGACTTTAGATTGGGAGTAAATAAATTCTTTTTTTGTTTTCCTATTTTTATTTAAAACTTCTATCAGGCTTTCTTGGATTTTAGATGCTCTGTAGTTGAGAGACGCGCAAGATTTAAGCTTTCACAAGCACAGGATAGAAGTCATATAGTTGAGGTATGTTAAAGGTTTCTCAAAGTTGATTATTGAAATACCTGGTTTATGAATAGACTGACTTATTGTCTCTCTCATGGGACTGAAACCGAACTTCCTGTATTTTTAGAATTTGAAATGTTTACAATTATTTATGTTTATGGTCATTAATAGGATGTCATAAATATTGTTGTTATTTCTATTATTTCAATTGTCTTGTGTTTCCATAAAGGATAGATGGTGGCTTTGAAATTCAAGTGCTTCTGAACCGAAATATACTTTTTTGTTGCATGGAGACTCAACCATCACCTTGCAAATCCATACAATTATAGTTGCTTAATTCTTTTTTTCTTTTTCTCTTTTACTTATTTAGTTATTTTGGCGAGCTAGGGTATCGTAGTTGGTCTTGACAATTTGGATGGAGTGATTAATGTCATTAGGAAAGCTGCAAGCAATGCAATGGCATCAGCAGATTTGATGAAAGGTAAGGCACTGCTCTGTTCTTATTGTGTTGTTTATGATGTCTTGCTTATTTTGTGTCTTTTTTTCCCCTATTGTTTTCAGATGGCACCACTGAAGTATTATGCAAGTTTGTTTCTATTTCTAATAATTCCCTCCCCCCCAACAAAAAAAATGAAAAATAAATAAATAACCCAGATCGTTCTTTCAAATTTCAATGATGCAACCGGTTAGCAGATTTTACTGATTGTCTTTGGGTTATACAAGCAGCCCTATTGGTTTCTCAAAAGTCATTCAAATATACAATAATACGTGATCTAATTGTTTGAACAAGCATGGATTTTGTGTTCAGTTGACATGATACTTGTCACGCCCCGCTATCCACGGTCATGTGAGAAAACCATAATTCATAAAAACCATCTCAGATATTCGTTTAAAATCTCCATGTCATATGATCCAAGGTTCATAACATCAGTTCATTCTCACAACCTCCAAGCATGCGCACACCATTTATTATTTCGAACACTTGGCTGACACATCTCGGACACATGGTCAACACATTTTTGACAGTCAACCAGGACCAACACATCCTATGCTCTTCGTCTAATATAAACAAACACATGACAGTAATGGAATCTACTTTATGAACATGAATCAAAATGTCCAACGTATTTATTTCTAAAAAAGTAGACATCAAACACGTCACAGGTTGTAATGAATAAAAATATAACTATAATGACAAGATATAATAGTAATATCATATATAATAGAATATATTCTTTTATATATTTGAATAGCTTCATCTTCAAATTTTAGTAACTTTAGTGTAGAAGTCGAACTTTTAAATTGATTAAAGTGCCATAATTGTCTTACTCAATAGATCTATAAATGAATATTTACATTAGCTGCGTCCGTGTTCTACTTTTTTAGAATTTGTCTCGTTTCGGTGTCCATGCTTCTTAGTCTGGAGCTTCTTAGTCCACACCAGATGACTCTCCTCCAAAGTCTTTGTTTCTTCACCCAGAACCTCCACAGCCACTTGCCCAACAGGGCTTATTGAACAAGTCTAGTCTTTTCACTCCCAGCCCACCCGCCATGTTGAAGCTTGAGTATAACCTAAACCAGACTTACCATTAGAAGATTTCAATTTTGAGTGCCTTGAGTAAATTTAGCAGCCACTTTCTTAGATGAGTGCATGATTGTTGGGTCAGATGATATATGACTTACTTCATGATTTTATGTAGGCTCATTTAGTTTTGATGGTTGATTTACCAAAAATATAGGTAGTTGATTGAACTAATTTTTCATCATTTCTTTGTTGCAGAGTTTAGTTTGTCTGAAAAGCAAGCTGAAGCTATATTGGACATTAGCCTAAGAAGGCTTACACAACTTGAGGTGCATAGTATTCAATCATGCCACTCATCATTTGTTTTATGTTTCTTAATGAGATTTTGCCAACTATTTTTTTGCTCTTATCGTGATTGTAAAGGGTTTCCACATTCATTATTATGCAGAGAAATAAATTTGTCAATGAGGGGATATCCTTGATGGAACAAATTTCCAAGTTACAGGAACTTTTGTCGAGCAAAAACCAAATACTCCAGGTAGACTTTTTCACTTAGAAGCTCGTTAATTCTACTCTGGTAATAATATTTTCATAGTTAAGAAGATTGAATGGCTCTGAAAGCTCTCTTATAAGATTTTATTTGTACATTCATAGTATAATAGACACCTGTTGCACCCTAGGTTAAGGAAATGCTTCAAAAAAGCTTTGGCCAACTTTATGTGAGTGAAGCTGGAGTGCTGGACTTGTCCCTCAGCATAAGCATTGCAGAACACCTTACAACTGTAGACCAAAGGAAAAAGAAATCAGATTTTAGCCTAGAATAATATGCAAAGATTAATTCAAGGAAGCTCTATCTGATGTGAATAAAAATATAATTAAGATGCACGAATAATACTTAAAAAATACGACCAATATGGAAAATGATGAATATATGGTTGGGCTGATAATATATGGACCTCCACGAGTAAGCGCAAACAATGAGTTTCACATCACAGGAAACCTCAGGTTAGGGGATAATTCCTTGCGGTTATTTTATTTTGTTTCTTTCTGATCTTAATTCTGTAAGAGTTGATTTGGTAAATTTTTTGGAGTTGAGACCAGATCTGAAACACAGAGATAATAATAGATGAAACAGATATAATAATATAAGATAGAGATAATAACTTTGAAACGCTTCAGAAAAGTTTCTTCTTTATTGAACTTCAAAATAAAGTACACTTAGAAATATTACAAGAGTGAGAGAAAGGAAAACTGAAAGATACATTGAGGGGGAACATTGCCCTCTATTTATACATGAAATTGGACTTGAAAATTAAATTTGAAGTCCGCATAGTGGATGGATGGCGTGTGCTAGAATAATGCAATCGGTTGGCCCATAATATCTACTTGGAGCAGGGGCTGTATTTGAGTGGATATTTTTATCATAGACAATTCAGGCATGGTGGAGAAAGCAGCCTGAAAATCCTCAATATGAGGAAGCTCATCATTTTCAGAGACATTTCCAGATTCATCATTCTTCTTAGGATGAGTCAACTTGAAACCTGGAACCTCAATTGCAGGTTGAACAAGTGCCTTAGATAAGGTTGCCTCTGGGGGAGGTTTTACAGTGAGGTATTTGGTATTAAGAATGATTAATACCGTATCCATACTTGTTTCAATTCTCCCTAACTGGGACCCTATATTTTGCATACAGACATTTGTATAATTATTTTGTCTATATACTTTATACATATCTTCTTTGACAACAGCACTGGCTTTGTCAATAAAAGATGGTTGGCTATAAGCCTTGGTTTCTATTTTGGCACCAGTATCCTCATCTGATTTTTTCAAAATTAGAGTTTCAGTGGGGGGATGAACTGAGTGGATAACTTTATCCCCTTTGGTGGTCCATGTTTTCAGAAAATCATCCAAAATGTTTAAATTCATAATGGAATGATGAGTAAGACAAAACCAAGAAACAAAGGGTATAACTGTCTGTTTGGCTTGAAGATACTTATAAAATTGAGTTTTAAAAAGTTGCAATTGCTCTTTATTAAACTCATTAAAGTACCAAGTCCTGAACTCTTGATATCGCTCCTGTTGAAATTCAGTATTAATGGTTTTTCTATCTGGTGTAAAATCCATTAAAACTGATATTCTTCTCTTTCTTCAGTCGGGTCTTCAGTCTGCTTGCCAATACCCATTTCTGATGGCGTGGGACTGAATTCTATTCCAAATTCTCGAGGTGATACACCTTTTGGTGCTGGTTCATAGACGCCTCGTGAATTTCATTCTGAGATTGCTGGATGCCCTTCAGCTTGAGTCGATCTGCCTCTGTTAATTCATCTTTGTCCTTAGACATTCAATAGTCTGAAACAGAGTTGCGAGAAGGAGGATAGGAGACTTTATAGGGAAAATTAATTCCTCTAGATGATGTAGATCTGGGTAGATCTAAAGATCTTCTAAAATTAAGAAGAACATCACCATCATGATCCTGGATAACACAGTCCAAATTCCTATTGAGGATAGGTTTTGTAGGAACTGCGTTAGGTATTGTCCAATGTTCAGGAAATGTTATTTCACTCCAAGGAATCATCCTTTTTGTGGCAACATTCGAGGTGAACATATTTGTATCCCATATTGCTGTTACTCCTTTAGAGTCTTTGCGAATGGCTTTTGGACAGTAGGTATCAAGTACCTTATAATGGATGCGATAAATTACACTTATCACCTCCGATCCAGGTAAGAAATTATACCCATGAGTCTGTATACGAAGACTAGCTGCTTCATATATGTTTTTATCCGACAAGGATAAATTCAGACTAGGATATACATCAAAATAAACCGGTCCATGACATAGACTGGTTTCCAGTGCACCCAGCAAAGAAGGGTGAAAATCCGAACACCTAGCATCTCTAAGTGTTGCTTGAATACAAGCATCCATACCAAGTAAGGTTAAAGGTTTAAAAACAATCTGGATTAAACCTATATGGATATAGTTGTACTTTTTCATGTATCTCTGAAGATCACGTGGAGACAATAACTTAATGATTGTATCCTGATTGCTCAATTGCATGGTCTGTTCCATGGTTTTGATTGCCCATAAATCAGTAAAATTGAGCATCCTGATTTTGTAAATGCTGCTTGCATTTACTGGTGGAATAGTCCACTTGTTCAATTTATTTTAAACATCTGTAAATTCAATTAACTCTGAATTCTTGATAAATTCAGAATCTTGTGACTCCTATACTTCCATACTAGAAGATGGGTTTAACATGACTGATAAATATTGTTAATGCTTAAGATCTGTATAGAATAATTATTATAATATTATGTAATGAATAGTAAGTTACTATTCTGTCGGTGTTTAAAAGAGGCCCTATTACTCGTCTGTCAACGGTTTACTGGAAACAACGACTTATGGAGCAATTTAATGCCAAATTGGTCTTAACATTCCAACGCGACTTTTGGATGACCCATAATAAAACCTGGGTTAAACAGAAACTAAACAGAATAGTAGCCTCATTGTTCTTTACATAATTATCATAATAATCATCCTACCAGAAACTTAAAAGCATTAACAATATAAGTTTAAGCCAAGATATGGCTCTGATACCAAAAGACAAATGGATCGATGTTAAGACCAGATCTGAAACACAGAGATAATAATAGATGAAACAGATATAATAATATAAGATAGAGATAATAACATTGAAACACTTACAAAAAAGTTTCTTCTTTATTGAACTTGAAAATAAAGTACACTTAGAAATATTACAAGAGAGAGAGAAAGGAAAACTGAAAGATACATTGAGGGGAAACATTGCCCTCTATTTATACATGAAATTGGACTTAAAAATTAAATTTGAAGTCCACATAGTGGATGGATGGCGTGTGCTAGAATAATGCAGACAGTTGGCCCACCACTACGTTGTGTCTTCTTGTCGGATAGCAATGATCAACTTTTAACAAGAAATAGTACTGTAGAATCAAAGACTTTTGAAAAAGAACTTTGGCTTCTTCTGTCGGCAGGATAGAAACGAATCTCTACGGTTTTGGAGGTTTCATCTTTTCTGCCAAATGAACTGTAAGAGAGTCCCAATAATCTTCAGCAGAGGGGTCCTCATCGTGGATAAGATCAGCATCTGGATCTTGAGCCTCACCAGCGAGACAGGAAAACTGGTTACCTTCATGACTGGATACTGAAACCATGGATATGTCATCCCTGACCCGTGAAGTAGTGGAACCAAATGTATTAACAAATTTGTCCTTCATAAAATCCATGCATTGGACCATTAAATCTGTTTCAGTAATTAATGGCTGCTGTTTTCTGATCATATCTTTAACTAATTCAAAAGGGTTAAAGATATCAGTGGCATCTGGAAACTGAGTCAATGTTGGCTTTGGAATGGCATCATGATACTCCACTGTTTTCTGTTTGATGAGGGTCAGGAGGGCTGCAACAGGCTCCTGGGACATGCCGACCCACCATCTATAATAAAAAATCCTTTGCAGGATTGGCAGCTTGTCAGGATTATAGCTGCATTGGAAATCCCATTTCCAAATCTAAGAGATTCCAAATTCTATAAAGAATAATAGGGTGGATTTCCCTACAGGAATATTATCCTGGCCTCTAAACTGAGGATGAAACTGCTGCTATGGAAGGAATAATTGCCTTACTTCTTCTGGTAAAATATCTAGATCTGGTCCAAATTTGGCCCACCAGAGAATAACCCAATTTGGGAATTCAACCTTAATAGATTGAGGACAGATCTTGAAAAACCAAAAATGCTTGTGTTTGGGATTTTGGTAAAAGAACGAATATATCCAGGCTGAGATATAATCCCAATAATTGTAACTATATCCAAAAGCGAACTTTCAAGAGAGGTTGGGATTTAATCCCCAATCAGAAGGCCTCATAAGCCTCTTAAAGATAGCTTTACCATAAGTAAGAGGACTATCTTTGGAATTAGGAAATTGCTTCGTGTGGGTAAATTCCACAGAGGAAGTTTTAGTAAGCATGGCTTCATAGACATATCTATGGCGACCATCCGGTGCTGCGTATTGCTGTGTTTGGAAATATCTGAATTTTACTTCCCAAGGATCTGGCATCCATTGTTCATCTTGAGAATCCAGAACTAATATTGTTTGAATATACCTTGAATTAGGTATCCATGGAGTTTCTGTTGTAAGAACCTCTTTCATTGTTTTCTTCTGTGAGCTTTCTCCTTTGTTGGGAGTACGAAGCAAATCAGAGAGATGTTCCAAGGTTGGATACTGATCGTCGGTTAGTGGTATAACCACTTTGTCTTTTGCCTTGCCTTTGCCACGGCCTTTTGTGGTATTACCATAGCCCTGCCCATTATGGGGCTGACTCATGAACCCTGTAGAAATTCACGGGTTAAAAAGTCAGATAAAGAGTTAGAACTGCCTTTAATATATTCAATTGAAAAATCAAAAGCAGATAAATCAGCTTGCCAACCAGCAAATATCTGTTTGGAAACTAAATTTTTAATATCTTTTCCAGTACTTGTTTAGCAGCATTACAATCAATGCGTAACAAGAATTTCTGATTAACTAAATCATCTTGGAATTTATAAATGCATTTAACTAAAGAAAGAATTTCATTCTTGATAGTAGAATAATTTAATTGTGCATTTTTCCAAGTTCCTGAAGTGAAGCGGACAAGCTCCTCAGATCATGTTTCTGGATTCTTTTGTTTCAGAATTCCACCATATCCAATGTTGGATGCGTTTGTTTCAACAATTTTAAACCACGAAGAATTTGCTAGAGCCAAGCAAGGAATTTGTTTAGCTCGAAGTTTAATCTTCTGGACTGCTTTGGTATGTTCCAAAGTCCAAGGGGAAGGTGATTTCCTTAACCTTGTATATAAAATTGTTGTATCCTGTGCAAGGTTCTTGTAATGATTACGAATATAATTCAAACTACCAAGAAATCTTTGAAGTTGAGTTTTATCTTTAATTTCATCTGGAAATTTAGAGGCAAACTCAATGCTGCGATTAATGGGTCTAATTTTTCCATCACTAATTTCATGACCAAGAAACTTTACTTGGGTGAGGAAAATTTTAAATTTAGGAGCAGAAACTGCTAAACCATTTCTGTAAATAACATCTTTGAAAATTTTCAAATGTTTATAATGTTGATCTATTGATTTTGAAAATATTAAAATATCATCAATACAAACAATAGATAATTCAGTATAAGGATTAAAAATGTCATTCAAAATATGTTGAAATTCTGAAGGGGCATTTTTTAAACCAAATGGCATTACTGTCCATTTATACTGTCCAAAGGGTACACAAAAAGCAGTTTTATATCTGTCCTTTTCTGCAATCTGTACCTGGTAATATTCTGATTTAAGATCAAACTTAGAAAATATTACAGCAGACTTTAATCTATCTAACAGATCTTTAATGTTGGGAATTGGGTATCGGATCCAGCTCAAAGCCAAGTTGAGTGGTCGATAATCAATAACCAGACGAGGAACTCCTCGTTCTTTTTTAGAGTTTTTATTGACATAAAAAGCTCTGCAACTCCATGGGGAGTAACTAGTGGTAACTAGCTTCTTTTCCATTAAAGAGCTAATTTCAGCTTTGCAAAGTTCCAAGTAGTCAGCCTTTATATGGCTGGGACTAGCTTTGGAAGGGATCATCAGATCGGTAAATCCTTTTTCATAAGGCAAAGAAACAATATGCTTCTTTTTGTCCCAGAAAGCATTAGGAACATCACTGCAGATATCCTTTAGAAAACTTTGTCGTATTGACTCTATTTTTTGTTGCTTAGTGGGCTGTACCAATCTTTGGTTGATTGCTAAGGAAGAGATTTCCTTTTGTAAATAATTGAGTTGCTTTTCCTTAAAGATAATACTATCTTTATGAGCATTGATATGCTTGTTTACTGCTTTGGTCAAAAACTCAAAAGTAATTGACTGACCCTGTAAAACTGAGCATATCCCATGAGAATTAATTTTCTCGATTGGCATAATCAAGGCTAAAAAGGGAGTGTCCAGAATAACCTGTTGTGCCTTGTTTCTAATAAGTAAAAAGGTAGATGGAAGACAAATACCTTGTTTACAAATAAAAACGTGATTAAGTTTATACTTAATCTGCATCTTACCACCACTTGCACTGGTAAGACCTTGAGTGGTTTTCTCAAAATATTGAGTAGGGACTAATCCTTCTTGGATACAGTTCATGTTCGCACCACTATCAACTAAAGCAACCGTATTAGTGATGGTAAATTCCTGATTGATTACCAAATTATTGGAGATGTACCATTTTTGATAAGTAACCTGATTTAAAAGATTAAGATAATCCTTATCTTCAGGTTTGGATACTTTAATCTGGGAAGATGTGAAGTTTCAGTAACATGATTAGCCTTTTCTTTTAAAAGTTTGATCTCCAAATCCATATTGGTTTGATGAATTTTCAATTGGCGGAGTTCAGCTTTGAAAAGGTTAACCTCCATTCTTAAATCTGGAAGATTTGCAGGACGAGAGGTTTGGCTTTGCTGTTCTAATCTGTTTAGAACTTCTTTCATGCTATAATGATTTTCAGATCTTAGAAAATCTGGATTATCATTATCCTCTTTAGGTTGTGCAATGGCATAACCTATTTCAAAGATTTTCATTTTTATCTGAGGATCCTGAACTTGATCTATAAGATCCAATAAAGATTGTTGATGGGCAATTAGAACATTTAGACTGAGCCTATTCATTTCAACAATAGCTTTATAGTAATCATGTGAAGGATTACAAGAAGGATTGCAAGAACATTCTGGACTACTACTTTCTGCTTCAGAGGAAGAAGACTGTAATTCCATGACTATGTCCTTGGAATTAGATGAATCTTCGGAAAAACTAGTATTAAGCAACAATTTGCTTAATTGTAGTTTTAGTTCTTCATTAATTTGAAGACTGCTAAGTTTCTCCTTAGTTCTACATTTATTGGCATAATGACCTATACGCCCACATTTGAAACACTTAGCCTCTGTTTTGGGCTTTCCTTTACCCTTTGCTTTAGGAATATATTTCCTTTTAGGCTTAGTGTACAGTTTGGAATCATCAACTTTCTTTTGATAATTCTTTCTTTTGGAGTACTTCCTTTTATAAGGCTTTTCAGCCTTATGTCTTTTCCTACTAATAGGATAAGATAAAGGAGTCTGATAGGCAAATTGATCACAAAATTCACCTACTTCTTTTCGACCAGTTAATCGTTGTGCTTTTAACTGGGACTGTAACTTCAGATCATTACAGAGAGCTAAACCTTCTTGAATTACAATGTTTACTAATCCACCATAGGTATAGTTTCTGTAAGGAATAGAGAGACCATTATTCATATCTCTCAACTTCTTCCTTATCCTTTCTGCAGAAAAGGTGGGAAGACCATCCACAAATTTTGCTTTCCAATGCTCATGGTTAGCGTCGCTAAGCTGCAAAACTTTAGCTAAGAAGACATCTTTGTACCACCGGAAACGAGTTAAAGATGGACATCTTAGATTCTGTAATAACTCTCTACTTCGTTCACTGTTAGCTCCTTCATGACCAACAAAATGTTGAACAATAGTAGTGATAAGGGTATACACCGCATCAGGAGTTGGCCCTTCTTGCTGAGTACTTTCATCCTTGACAATTTTGATTGCTGAAAATATCTCATTTTTCTGAGCCTCTGTGAGAACATTATCCCACCATCCTTTAAGGATTCCTGTAAAACCAGCAACAACGAATTTAGCAATAGTTGGGTCATTGTTTTGGTTGATTTTACAAACTTGACTATACATCAACATTTGATGTATAACCTCATAGATCTGATAGTCAGATTTACCATCTATGTTCCACTCATAAATGGTTTTCCCATGAAAAGACTTCTGTGTATGAAAATTACTGGAAACGACGACCTGTGGAGCAATTTAATGCCAAATTGGTCCTAACATTCCAACGCGTAAAGAACAGTGAACAGCATTTATGCTGATAGTTTTACTCGTGCTCTGATTACTTGATCTATTTGAATTTTTATTTATGCTGATAGTTTACTCATGCTCTGATTACTTGCTCTATTTGAAGTTTTCCTTTGCGTTCCAAAAGCTTACTTACTTTCTTGCATTAAGCTGTAGCAACTGCCCTACTGCTTATGTCTTTCTTTTTTCTGTAGAGAAACTACTTTGTTTAATTCATTTATTTGTTTCTTTTTATTTTTAACTTGCATTAGATTTCTTATATTACTTTGGTTTTATCTTTTTTTCCTTGTAATGTTGTATTACATTTCATTTTAATTTTTGTGAGACTCTGGTTCTTTTTTCTCAATTTATAAACATGTTTTCTTATTTCAATTGATTAGTTGATCATTTCCTCTTATTTCTGCCACTTCTTAGTTAATAGAACAAGAAGCAACTGAACTAAAGGAGAAGTTTTTCACTCCAAGGCGTTCGATGTTAGAGGACACTGATAGTGGTTTACTTGAAGATATAGATGTTATCCCAAATGAGGAAATGCTACTGGTACTTGACCAAAGCGCTTTTTACACTTGGTCAAATTCATTCCTTTCTATCATTTTAATTACAATGAGTTTTTGGTTATGATTTCAGGCAATTAGTGAGAAAGGTTATGTTAAACGAATGAGACCTGACACCTTCAACCTCCAAAAACGGGGAACCATTGGTAAATCAGTTGGAAAATTGAGAATAAATGACACAATGTCTGACTTCCTTGTTTGTCATGCGCACGACCATGTCCTGTACTTTAGGTATTTCTTATCTGCTTCCACTTTAATTTTCAACATTTTTGCATGTACTGGAGGTGACTGTATTTCCCTACCATTTCTGTTTTTTTCCCCCTTTCTTTTTTACTTGAGAAAGATATTTTTCTAGATGCTGAATGAAGTGTGTGCTGCGATTTTCTCCTTTACTTGCCTTTTAATATTTTAAATAATGTACGAAAGTGACACAACTTGTTTTGGCATGAATTAGTTTGGCATCAACCAAGAACTGAACTAAACTTGGTCTGATCTAATGTTATGAGAATCTAGGAAGGACCAAAAGGTTACCCGTGAACTGGTTTGAGTTGGAGTCATAACTGTTTGAGTATTGTTAATGTTAGAGAATTATTTTAGTTTTGAGGATAAAATTGTATTTTCCCTCTTTTAGTTGTCAGCCCTCTTTAGGGCATAATTTATTCATTTTTGTACATTGTATTCTTCTATTCTTAAAAACTATTGAATAATAGTATATAGGGTAAAGTGCCAAAAAAAAACCCTGAACTTTACTCTCTCCCCCTAAAAACCCCCCTGAACTTTTATTTTTACAGTTAACCCCCTAAACTATTAAAATTGTTGCAAAAATTACCCACCGGCAAGGTTCCGTTTGGTTCCTCCAGTTAAATAGGCGCGTGATCATCACATGCATAGGCTGTAATTTTAAAATGACGAAGCTACCCTTGCCACCTTATTACCTTAATTGTTAAATGTATAAATAAAACAAAATTTCCAAATTTGATGATACTTTCCTCTTCTGTTTTTTTTTTTTCTCCAAATTGAAGAGATCACCAAATTGAACCCCCAATCAATCATCGAAAGTTGAAATCCTATCCCTACCAAATCGCCATCTCTGTTTGGAACAATTGAATGTGGAGAACATAAAACAAAATTTCCAAATTGATGATACTTTCTAATTTTTTTTTTTTTACCAAATTGAACCCCAAATCAGTTGTCGAAAGTTCAAATCCTATCCCTATCAAATTGCCATCTTTGTTTGGAACAATTGAATGTGGAGAAGAGTCGAATGCCTCCATCTCCCCTCGTTTCATCATAGAAATTCAGAAATTCAGATTTCTTTGTTAACTTCAATCAAGTTCTGATCAGCAATCTCATTCCCGCTCTAGATCTGCTGATACATCAGCAGCACCGAGAATACGTCTCTCGCGATGTGGTCCAGGCCGTCGTTGGCGACCACCATGTAAATCAGCTACCGGTTGGTGCAAAGACAAGGTAGAGGATTTGATCGTTTTCTTCACTGTAATGGACTAGTTGGGTAAGGTGGAGAGAGGGAGTTTGTTGGCATCGAGGAGGGTTTGGCGTCTCTTGACGCCGATGAGGGTTTTAACGGCCGAGAGAGAGGTGGTGTTTGGTGAGACACGTAATCAATCAATGTGTTGAAGTGCGATTGGAAGTGCAAAATCAGATGCCTGAGCCATCGTCGGCGCCGTGACGGCGAGGAGAGAGATTAAGGTTAGAGAGAGAAAAGTTATGGCAAAACCCCCTTTTTGTGGCTCTCAAGGTTTGGTTCTTGAGTTAGCGGGGTGTTGTGAGAAGAGGGAAAATGGAGAGGGAGTTGGGTTGGAGGGGGTTGGGCGCGGCTGTGAACGGTGGAGGTGGTTGGAGAAGAAGAATTTGTGGGAGAGGGTTGGTGGCGGCCATGAGCATGGAAGGAGGAGTACTAAATTGAGGTGGGGAACAGGTGTTCCACGCAAAGTGTGGGGTGTTGTTTTGTGATAAAATGATGAGTTGTCAAATGCTTATTGGTTATTGAAATTTTATTTTGACACATCAGCAGCACAAGTTTATAAAGCACCAAAACGGCGTAGTTTCTCTAATGGATAATTTACTAATCTTCTTTATCCGGTACCGGAAATTTCACTTTTGTCCTCAAATGCAACTTTTAAATAGTTCAGGGGGGCACTTGTTAAATCAGGGGGGTTTTGTGCAAATGCCTGAAAGTTCAGGGGTTTTTTTTGCACTTTACCCTAGTACATATGATTTCCCTCTTCTCTTCTTCCTCTTTTATTCTGGTTGTGTACAAATCTCTACATGGTATCAGAGCAAATCGATCGTGGGAATTGAATAGTACTTGTTGACTGCCCCAAAGCATCGTTTGCTTCCCACACAATCATAGCCCAATTGATTTCGCACAAATTCTTCATCGCAATCACAGCGGTGTTCGACACCTCCATTTTTGCACTTTGCATCTCAATTCACAAGTTCTTAATCTGTTTGCAAGTTCGCAGTGGCAATCTGTTTGAATCTTTGTTCTTGGTTTAATGAATCACAATCATCGCAATTTCTGTTCACCTCAGTTGATATCAAATTAATTTCTGTTTGTTGCATAGCATCCCATCGCAGCAACGAAATTCAATTTCGGCTTTGCCTTCATATCACAATCTGCATCTGGTTTTCTCATTGCATCACTACTAACTTGATTTGCATCGCATCACAACCCATGAGATTCTGTTTGATTCAATGGCATCTCATGACCTCTATCACACAGCCTGCAATCTCGTCTCAATTCTCTGTTTGCTAGAGAATTACATCTCACGACCTCAATCGATTGCGTCAAAAATCATGTCGAAAATTTTAAATGAAAATTGGGTTTTCATCCATGTTCCTTTTCAGTATCATCAATCTTTGCCCTAGTTATCTTTTAGGATATATGTCTACTGTTTATTTTGTAATGGAGTTGTCTTTCTTGCATTGTGGTTTTAAAAAAAAAAGATTTATATCCTCTTTTTTTTTTTTTTGGGTAGTGATAAAGGAGTTGTGTACTCAGCACGGGCCTATAAAATTCCAGAGTGCACCCGGGCTGCCGCTGGCACACCATTGATTCGTGTATGCTATCTTCCCCTCCCAACTCAAATTTTAGTTAGAACTTTTTTTTTTTTTTTGTTAGCTAGAAGTTTTTCAGTATCTGCCAAATGATATCGTTGTTTCCTGATGGAATCAGATCTTGTCCTTATCTGATGGGGAAAGAATAACCTCCATTATAACTGTGAGTGAATTCGTGGAAGATCAGTATCTTCTAATGCTTACCATAAATGGCTACATCAAGAAAGTTTCTTTAAACTATTTCTCATCAATCAGATCGATGGGAATCATTGCAATTCAATTGGTTTGTCCTCTTCTTTACAGCTTTGATTGTGGCTTGATTGATAATATTACATTATTTATTTAGGCATCATATTCTGACAGGTTCCTGGTGATGAACTCAAATGGGTCCGTCGTTGCACAAATGATGACCGTGTGGCTATGGCGTCACAAAATGGAATGGTTATTGTGAGTTCTTGTGAGAAAGTGAGTTCTCTCGTGCCTTCTTTACTATTATTTAGCTGGAATTGCTGATTCAAATTGCAAGGTCTATGTAAGTCACATAACTTTAAAAAAATGCAAGATTCATGTAAGTTTCATCTTTTGTGAAGGTGACACATGCAAAACATGATTTTGTGTCCGTACTTAATTGTTTTTATTTTATTTTGAAACGGTGAAATTTGTTTCTTTCAATTCTTGTGTTGAAAGATCAAAAATCAGGGACCTAGCATCTGGAAATTTCTAGTTTTATGGTCATCTGGGAACAAAAATATTTTCATGCTTGTAGATTTTAGGGTTAAGAGAGGAGGAGGAGAAGAGGGGAAGAAATCTAAGAAGACAGTGAGAAAAAACTGATCTTTCATCACCCTATTATGTCATACATTTTTTTTTTTTGATAAGAAATTTATAAAAAACGCTCAAAGGGGAGCGAAACCCAAGGAAACAAGAAGAAAAGGCCACAAAAAGCCTCAAGCCTTCAAAGAGGCCAAAAAAATAACAATCTCCTCAACAGAACGATAATCTCTCCCTGAGACCCAACAAAAGAGAGAAGAAATAATAGAGAACTTAAGCATAGAAATGGGCTTCTCCTTGCCATTGAAGTACCTCCTATTCCTTTCAAGCCAAATGCACCACCAAACACATAGAGGGGTGGCCCTCCAAGCATCCCGGATAAGTGCCCCAACTGAGAAACCTCTCCAAGCCTCAATCAACCCTCTAGAAGAACATAGCATAACCCAGGGGACCCCAAATAACCCAATCATCAAATCCCAACAATCTCTGGCCATACAGCAATGCAACAGAAGGTGATCGACTGTCTCCTCATCGCGATGACACAAGAAACAGTGATTGATAACCACCTGCTTTCTCCTCCTCAAATTATCCTGAGTTAAAATCCTACCCAAGACAGACGTCCAAGCAAAGAAGGCCACCTTAAGGGGAGCCTTGGAGCGCCAAATAGCCTTCCAAGGGAAAGAGCCACCCTCCCCAATAAAAAGACACCTGAAAAAGGATCTCACCTTGAATCGACCCTGAGAGTGAGGACTCCAAAGCCAACAATCAGCCTCCTCATGAGAGATCACTTGTCTATACAGCAACTCCAAAAAATGAGTGACCTCCTCAATTTCCCAATCCTGAAAATGCCTCCTAAACTGAACATCCCAAGTTAGTCTTTCGTTATCAAGGTGATAACAGTCAACCACCAAGGCCTGCCTGTCAGAAGTAATCCTGTGAAGTCGAGGAAAAGCGAGAGCAAGGGGAAGCTCTCCACACCAGAGGTCCTCCCAAAATCTGATCCTCCTACCATCTCTTAACCGAAAGCGAACATGATTACGAAACACGTCCCAACCCTTTTGAATGCAAGACCAAACCCCCACACCTCTAGGACCACGCACCTCAAGAGAACACCACCCACCACTGATTTCCCCAAACTTGCTGGCAATAACTTTCCTCCAAAGCCAACGCCTCTCAACCCCAAAACGCCATAGCCATTTCCCAAGAAGAGCCCTATTGAAAAGCAACAACCTTCGAATCCCTAAACCTCTGTTTCGAAAAGGACGGCACACTTGCTCCCATCGAACCAAATGATATTTGAACTCCTCTCCTCTCCCCTCCCCAAAGAAAATTCCGCTGCAAACTCTCAATTCTCTCCACCACCGAAGAAGGAATCTGAAAAAGGGAGATAAAATAGGTGGTAAGGCAAGAGAGAGTGCTCTTGATCAGAGTAACCCGCCCCCCTTTGGAGAGGTACTGCTTCTTCCAACCCGCCAGCCTTTTCTCAAATCTATCCACCACCGGATCCCAACTCCCCACACATCTTGAAGGAGCACCCAGAGGCAAACCTAAGTAAGAAATAGGAAAAGAGCCGGTGCGACATCCGAGGATCTGAGCAAACATCTCAATATCAGGAACATCCCCCACAGGCACTAAAACACTCTTTCCAACATTCACTTTAAGCCCAGAAACAACTTGGAACCAAATCAAAACGCATTTCAAATGTCTCAGCTGGGACACATCAACATCACAAAGAACCAAAGTATCATCCGCAAACATCAAGTGAGAAATCTCCAACTGACTGGCAACATCTCTACCCACCCGAAAGCCTCTCAACAAACCCAGATCAACAGCCTTTTTCAACAACCTGCTAAGAGCCTCTATCACAAACAGACGAAGGAAAGGAGAAAGCGGATTCCCCTGTCTCAAGCCCCTCGAGCTAGAGAAAAACCCCGTCGGAACTCCATTCACAAGGACAAAAAAGCGCGCACTAGAAATACAAAAAAGAATCCATCTCCTCCATCGCTCCCCAAACCCCATCCTCTCTATCAAGTAGATGAGGAAACTCCAACTCACATGGTCGTAAGCCTTCTCAATGTCCAGCTTACACAAAACAGCTGGAACCCCACTACTCAACCTGGAGTCAACACATTCACTGGCAATAAGAACATAATCCAAAATCTGACAGCCTTCCACAAAAGCATTCTGAGAATCAGAGATGACGCCATCCATAACCTTCCTAAGCCTAGTGGTTAAGACTTTGGCAAGCAACTTGTAAAAACAACCCACCAAACTAATAGGACGAAAATCTCTAACATCCAGAGCACCTCCCTTTTTCGGAATAAGGGCAATGAAAGTGGCATTCAACTCTTTTCAAAAGAGCCACGAGCATGGAAAGCGTGAAAAGAGCCCATCACCTCATCTCGGACCACCTCCCAACACTTCAAAAGGAAACGCATGGAAAAGCCATCTGGGCTTGGGGCTTTATCCCCGTTATAGCTATTCAAAGCAGACAAAACTTCCTCTTTAGAGAACGGCACCTCCAGTAAAGAACTTTCCTCACCCGAAATCGAGTCAAAATGAAGCCCAGCTAGTAAGGTCTCCACCCAACCGGTTCAGAGTACAAATCTGAAAAGAAATCAACAAAACCCTTACAAATCTCTTCTTCCTTGCAACACATTTCCCCATCCACCCGAATCCACCCTATGTGATTGCCTGTTTTGTGAGCATTGGCAAGTCTATGAAAAAATTTCGTATTGTTGTCGCCTTCCTTGAGCCACAAAGCTCTAGACTTTTGCCTCCAAGAAATTTCCTCCATCACAGCAATCTCAGCAAACTCTGCCTAACACTCCAGTCATACACTTCTATTATTTTTTGGAAAAGATTGATTTCATTAAAGATGCTTAAGAGGGGGGTTTTCCCAAGAAAACAAAAGACGCCCCCAATATGACTACTCTAGCAACCCCCCCCCCCCCCCCCCCCCCCCCTTCTCCTCTCAAGTTGGAGAATATATATCATATGATCTCAGCGTGGAACAACGATTATGACCTAGGGACTTATTGAACATTTTAGCTAATTGATCGTCGGATCTCACAAATAGAGTAGAGATGTTTCCACTCAATATTTTGTCTTGAATAAAATGACAATCAACTTCAATATCCTTAACCCTCTCGTGAAACACTGGATTAGAGTCAATATGTATAGTTGTTCGATTTATTTGAAAATAATGGAAGAGGAGTTTGAACTCACCTACCAAGTTCTTCAAGGAACCACTAGTTGCTTCTTATTCTTCCACATAACTTGATTACGTCCTAAGGTGCAATACCCTGTAGTGGATCTTCTAGCTGAAGGTTAGTCAGCCACCCAATCAGCATCTGTAAGACCTCCCACCTAAAAGTGAAAGCCATAGTGGTATAAAGAGTACCATGACGCAGTTCGTACTTGGCCTAATTATTTATATAGATAGAGAGATCAAATTAGAATCAGTCAGTGGAATTCGTACCCGTTGATGACTGTCTTCTGGCTTGGCGAGCTGCATCAGCTCCAAAGCCGGTTCTATTATACTATTACCTATTGAGAGTTATGATTTTTTGATCTATTCCAACTTCGTAGATTCATTCACTTTATAGGCAAAAAAGGCACGAATACGCCGACATGAATCAAGTTCCCTGCAAAGCATTTTCTCTTTCGTCCTCAGATGTTCGGAAGTTTTGTTCGATTTTGGCACTTTCGTTCTCATGCCGCAACTTGGGGGACCCTATCTCACCCAGCCCTCCCATTGGATTTATATGGTGACCCAAGGCCTAGAGCTCGCTTTAGAGATCAGATTATCCGAACAACAGCATTTCAATGTGGCACCCTTGTCAACAACACTAATCACATACAAGATATCAAGTTGAGTAATGGTGTGATAAATTAATTTTTCAACCGGTTGTCAGTATTTGTCAAGGTAAATAAATCATCCTTGCCAGCTAAGAATTGTGTTTGGATTCATAGGAACATCTCACAAACTTGTTTCTTTTAATAAGTCCAACACATACTTTCTCTTAGACAATCTTGTATCTTTCATTGATCTAGCAAATTTCATTCCGAAAATAATTTTTAAGTTTACCCAACTCTTTAGTATGAAACCGATGTTGCATACTCCTTCAACTGAAACAAGGCCAGTAACGATTAGCAAGAAGAGAAATGATAACTCGAATAGATGAAATCTTATAAAGAGGTGAAAAATTCTCATCATAATCAACACAAGTCTGAGTATATTCATTAGCAACAAGTCGGCCCTTTAAATGCTTATATAACCATCAGGAAGGTATTTGACAGTATAGACTCGCTTACAACCAACGAGTTTTGTACTAGAAGACAAGGAACAAGATCCCACATCCCATTATTATGGCATCCATTGGTTTTCCATCCCGGAATACAAAGAGCATCTATTTTTAGGAACAAGGATTGCAATAGGTAAAGAGTCGGAAACAACAGACCTAAGAAGCACAAACACTTCTATGAGGTGTCGTGTCAGTGTCGGATACTGTGTGAGACACCGACACTCCTGGACACGTCATGACCGTGTCCATAATTTAAAAGTAATTTTTATTATTTCGGACACTTGGTCAACACATTCCAGATACTTGACGACATATCCCACACATTGTCATATATAAAACAAACATATGACAGTCCTAGAAACAATATTATGAACATATATCAAAGTGTCTAACCTCTTTTTCTTTAAAAAATAGACATTAAACACGTCACAGTATGTAATATGAACAAAAACATAACTACAATGACAAGATAGAATAGTAATATCATATATAATATATTCTTTTTGATATTCAAATAGCTTCATCTTCTAACTTATGTAACTTTAGTATTGAAATTATAAGGTAAATAAAGTTCGATAATTGTCTTATTCAATAGATATATAAATGAAATTTTACATTTATATTAGCCTTGTCCACTCCGTGTCTGTGTCATACTCTTTTAAGATATGATGTGTCGGCGTATTTGTGTCGTACTGTGTCCATATCCATGCTTCTTTGCAGCAGATAGTGTCGTATACAAAGACTGAAGAAGGCGGAGGAAGCGTGGTAGGTGGCCTAGATGGAGAGTATTAACCTGTAATGGAGCAGCCGATTGAGGAGAATCAAGGCTTGTAGACAGTGAGGGAAGAGGAAAAGTAACAGGTTGCAAAGATGACTCAAATGTAATATTAACAGGAGAACTGAAATCTGGAAAAAATATGGGACAGACTCACAAAAGAAGACATCAGCAGTAGTGAAGTATTGTTGAAGGGTAGGACTAACAACTATTACCCATTTGAGTGTGGGAGTACCCAAGAAATACTATTAGTTGCACGAGGATTGAGTTTAGCAAAACCAGATCCAAGTTTATGGGCATAACATACACACCCAAGCAGTCAAGGAGTAAGAGTCAACAAGGATGAATTAGGACATAAGATAAATGAGGTGATTTCCCTTGCAATGCAAATGATGGCATATGGTTATGAGATGACAAGCAGTATGAAAGGCATCACTCCAAAACGGTTTTGGACATGCATATGAAATAAGAGAGTGCGAATTACTTCCAAGAGATGACGACTTTTACTCTCAGCCACCCTGTTTGTTCTAGGGTACAAGTACATGATGTTTGATGGATAATACCTTGAGCACGAGAATAAGTATCAAAAGGATTAGAGGAATATTCTTTGGCATTGTCGGAAGGGAAGACTTGAATTGAACATCCAAACTGAGTTTTGATTTCTTTATGAACGCTTTGCGTGATGTTGTGGCCTAAATTTGGTACCGGATCGCATACGACCCGTTGAATGAGCTTGTGGGTCGTGGACCCTAATTAGTACTCTCTTGTAGTCCGTTATATAAGGGTTCTTAGGGTTTGGAGTGGGTAGAGAGAAACACTGAAAATCTCAGAGAGAGATTGAGGGGTTGAAACTGGTAATTTCCTATTTTCGTATAGTGAAATCTTTTGCCGGATCTCCACTGTGGATGTAGGTTTTGCCGAACCATGCTAAATCTTTGTGTTCTTTGTGTGGTGTGATTACTTTTCTGTCGTGTTTCTTGATTTATTCTTGGGTTTGCTGCTTTTGTTGTAACAGTTTGAAATATAGAGAATAACTTAGAGCGATCTTTCATTAAGGACAATCAAGTCATATATGAATGATCATCCACAAGTGTCAAAATATGTAGAGTAAACACGGCTAAGACTCGGGACTTGACGCTGCAAATCAGGAAGTGATGGGTAGCCAAGACAAAAGTGCCATTGAAATGGAGATATGGAGATTGCAGAGCTCCGGGAGATGCTCAAAATCAAATTAATACACGCCACATACTTCATATTCTGTACCAATCTTCTTTGTCTTATTATCTTAAAAAACACGTGGGATAAAATGTAACGGAACGTTGAAGATTTTTAGTAATCTTACTAATAGACATCAAACTAAAAGTAAATTGAGGAACATATTAAAAAAAGAGACATGAAAGAACTAAGATGAGTTGCCTCTAAACTGGAAACTTTAAGAGGATGAACCATTAGCAAGAGTAACACTTTGAGAAGGAGCTACAAAATGAAAATCAGATAAAAGGTGAGAACTACCAGTCATATGATCTGAAGCTTTTTTTTTGTTTTTTTGATAAGTAATATGGTCTGAAGCTTTAGAATCAATAGAGTGGAAGACAATAGACTTGTAGCCTACCTGATTGGAAGAAGGAAGCCATGGACGATGGGGAGGGCGTTGCTGAGACATAAGCTGAGAATACTCATCATGTGGGATAGTGATCATATCAGACTTGCAACCTGGTGAGAACCAGTGGGTGGAGCTGTCGAACTAGGAACATCCTCTTTATAGGACACCAGATTTGCATTGGTAGATGATTTCGGGTTAACGTGAAGATCCCAACAATAATGCACGGTGTGATTAGTGAGGCCGTGGTGAGTCATCTGCAGGATTCTCTACCCCCCCCCTACTCATCATGTGGGATAGTGATCATATCAGACTTGCAACCTGGTGAGAACCAGTGGGTGGAGCTGTCGAACTAGGAACATCCTCTTTATAGGACACCAGATTTGCATTGGTAGATGATTTCGGGTTAACGTGAAGATCCCAACAATAATGCACGGTGTGATTAGTGAGGCCGTGGTGAGTCATCTGCAGGATTCTCTTACCCCCCCCCCCCCCCCCCCCCCCCCCCAACACATGTAGAATGAACCTTACGGCCTCCGCGAGAACTGCTGGGTCCACCCTGGGAGACAGTTAATGCTGAATGTTCACCACCATTATCAATATGGACAACGGAAGCACCACTAGATAAGAGTAACCGGCTGGAGTCTGGAAAAAAACATTAGTAAGAGATGGAAGGCTAGGCTGCCCAAAATCTATGCGTGATTGACTCATATTGCAGTGACAAATCAGTGGGAAACCTAACAACATTAAAATCCTCACATTGCTGATGCATATGCTAAACATTACATTCGAAAAATATTCCTCTAAACATTAATTACCTTGCTAAAAGCTGAAAAACTACTTGCGCATTTCGTAGCTAAGTCACATTAAGTGAGAGCATGAGAGCATCAATTCTAAAATTCTTTAAGAGCGGGAGCGCCATGAGAGCGTCTGTACATTTATTTTTATTTAATTATTTCACTTAATGCATTATTATTTTTTGTCAATTTTTTATTATAAAACTAGTTAATAAGATTAAATTTTTAGTTATTATTTCTCTGATCAAATAAATATTTTTTAGTAGTAGATATATTAATAATTGTATGTAATATATAGTTAACAAATAGTGGCCCAGTGGTAAATGTTTTAGTTTACATAAATCATGTCATGGGTCCATGCAGTATTGTTACTTTTTAGTAGCATGATTTGCGCAAACAGAGAGAATTGCCGCAATATGTGAATTCAAGCGAATTCTAGAACTGGAATTCGCGAACTGAAAAAAATGAGTTCGCAAATTTTGGGCGATTACGTGTCCAAATCGGGAAATCGTGCCTGGAGCTAAGAGCGGTGCCTCTGATGAATGAATTATGACTTAGCTTCGTAGATGCGAGTGATATCGTCTGTCCCAGAATACAATTACATTTGACGGTCCTAGATGTGCTTGACAGTATCCAGATAAAGTAAGGTGGAGCTAATGTTTGGTTCAATACTGGTTAACATTACTGAAAATTGGATCACTTTTTTTTTTGGTTTACCCTTTTGGATGTTTTCCAAGACCTTTAGCTTTAAGGAAAATCTCTACTGATTTGGCTCATAGGATGTAGTTTTGCCATTGAGCTCAACTAAGGTCATTGGAAGGTTAAATGAGGTGGTTGAGGAAAAAGGGCCAGACCTGGATGCCATATAGGGGGAAAAAATGGGAAGATGACTGAAATTTTGGGGAAGAAGTGACCGTAACCAGGGGGGAAAGAACAAAGAAAAAAATGACCTAGAAAGGAAATAAGTTGTACTGGGTTGGATTAAACTCTGTTCACGTATTCGGATCAGATCATGATGGGTGGGCCGAATTGGATGAGGGAAATAGATCAGAATTGGGTCGAGCAAACTGTTCAGAATCGGGTCCAGCAACTGTTTTATAGTCGGTTTTGATTAAGCCCAGATGGTTGCTACTGGGTCGATTGGGTTGGAACAAATCAGTCCGCCTTGTACCAGTCAGGTTAACCCGTTTTTTAATGAATCTTATAAAAAAATTGCCTTTCAACGGGAACCCGATTGGAAGTCACTGTACAACCACCTCTATAAACCCATGACCTACCAACAACGAAATGCCGACCAATCAACGAACAAACAACAGTCAGGCATGAAATCTACCACTACAACAAACGACTACTACCACAATACAAAACTCATCATGCGATTACACAAACATATAGAAACCAACAATCAACGATGACACGATGGAACTAACGATTTAGGACTACGACGAGGATGACGGTCAACGACTACAACTGGCAATCCCAACCTATCTAGATTAGTGCTCTGATACCATGTTAGATTTTAGGGCTAAATAAAGAGAGTAGTAGAAGAGAGAAGAAGAAATCTGAGAAATAATGGTGAGAGAAAAAAACTGGATCTCCCTCACCCTAATCTCTCTCTCTCTCTCTCTCTCACACACACACACACACACACACATAAAAGAACAAAGAAATAAGGAAAAGACGGTAAACTAACTACAAATGTGCACTATTCTTACAATGCCTTTAAATGGTACTAGAAATCTGAGAAAAATGGTGAGAGAATCTCCCTCACCCCAATATCTCTCTCTCTCTCTCTCACACACACACACACACATAAAAGATAAGGAAAAGATGGTAAACTAACTACAAATGTGCACTATTCTTACAATGCCATTAAATGGTACTCTGGTGGGAATTTGGTCCAAGTGATAATGTGATTCACATTCATAATCAAGTGGTGTTTTGTTTCGTTTATATGAATCAGTTTAGAGGGATTCACGTGTTTGTATTTCAAGTTGGTAGATTTTTGGTTCTAGTTAGGCTCTTCTTTAAAGTCCTTGCCTGTTTATCTGTTTCAGCAGAACTTCTGTACTATAATATTTTTGCACTCAGTTAATTGTATCATCTGTCTTTATGTGTAGAAACTGGTGATGTCTGGTAGATCATATAATGAAGCCTCGTTTCTATATTTATTCTTACCTTTTTCCCCTTTACTGCATTGCTGTTTTGGGTCAGGTTCGAGCAATTGGAAGAAACACTAGGGGTTCAGTTGCCATGAAACTACAAAATGCAGATAAAATGGCCAGTGTGGACATCATTCCAGTAACCTTGCCAAAAGAGTTGGCGACGGACTCGGAAATTCATCAGAGCTAGTAATTTCGTAACTATTATAATGGATACTTGTAGTATATAATTTTACGTATCAAAAAAAATATTGGTAATCTATAATTAATAAGCATCACATCAAATTTCCAGTTGCTACTTTTCTTTGTTTCATGAAGTTTTGTCTATCAAGTTTCATAGACAATAATATCTACCGTGTCTTTCTGGATTTGTATGCTCTGCTTGTCTCTGCCCTCTGGTTTAATGTTGTTGGTCCAAATTACTTGGTAGAACAGCATCAGAGCCTCTACTCTGCTTGTTTCTCTTTGTTCAAAACCTTTTTACATATGTTATATGATGAGTTGTGTCCATAATAGTTTGGTACTTTATTTCTTTTTGTTTATTGATTCTTTTGGAACAGTACTAAGGGCCTAATTGGCCCATGGCTGTTGTTCGTGACTGAGAGCGGTCTCGGAAAGCGAGTTCCTCTCAGCAGGTTCCGCGTGGGAGGTTTAAATAAAATTGGTGTGAAAGGTTACAAGGTAGGATGGGTATTGGATTACTTCTTGATTCATCAAAAACATTTAAGTTGTTGTTTTGCTTCTATTTCTTTCATTTATCATGACAGTTTCTCTGATCTTTTTGTTTTAGTTTTCTGAAGAAGATCAGTTGGCAGCAGTGTTTGTAGTTGGATTTTCATTGGCAGGTAATGATTTGTATTATTTATTTGGAGGCATTTTTGGTTTATATGTGAGTGTTCTTAAAATTACTCCGTAAATGTTGTAAACAGAAGACGGTGAAAGCGATGAACAAGTCGTTCTTGTGAGCCAGAGCGGAACTGTCAACCGAATAAAAGTTCGGGATATTTCTATACAGGGACGCTATGCAAGGTACACAGTGGGATATCTTCTTTTCTCTTTCTCTTTTGCATTTTTCTTTTTCCCTCTCTTTTTTGTCGGCATAAATTCACAGAACAAAAAAATCAGCAGTTTCCTTTTTTTTTTGGCTTGATTTGGTCATGGTCACTTGGGAAGGCTTTGTACAACCATGCATTTCCCATGCTCGTAGCTTGATGAAGCCAAGGAATGCAGCAATTTTAGGATTGTATAATTTCCCATGCAGCAAGATCAAGATATTAGCACAAAATGTAGATAGGCTAGTGGTGTATCATGTGATAATAGAATATTATATCACAAGTTAACAAGGGAAATTTTACAGGAAACTCATTAGGTCAATTATGTTATACAAAGCAGAATGTTGGTTTTTGAAAAAAGGATCAAGAACATTGCATTCATGTCAGATGAGAATGTCAAGATGAATGGTAGGTCTTTTTTTTTTTTTTTTTTCCCAAGAATGGTAGGATTGACACAAAGGGATTAAATAATGCACAAGTGAGGGAGAAATTGGGAGTTCTGCCTATTAGTGATAAAGTAAGAGAAAGTCCACTTGCGTGATATGGATATATATAACATAATTTTGTAGATACACCAGTAAGAAATAAGAAAATTAATTTGCATTAATGTAAGAAACAAAGAGACCAATCATAATTAACATGGGATATGGTATAGAAATGACTTCAAATATTTAAATATAATAGGAGACAAGTTGAGAATTGAAAGGATGGAAACAAAGAATTTATGTTGTAAACCCATTCATCTGGATGATGATGATGATGATGTTTGAGAACACAGTTTCGAGTCTAGAGCGATCATTGTTTGTTGATTTTTTAAAAGATTTTAGATATATAATCAGTTTGTTCCTCCCTCCCAGCATCTTCAATAAAGGAGGGCCAAAACTGGATGATTTTTATTTTTACTAACTGTTTCCACGCATCAAGTTTCAGAACATAGGGCCTTTAACTTGCAGTGTCTCTCTTATGGCAAGCTTTACTGTCGCATCAAATTGGGAATCAGCAAGTGAACTCCCGCCTTTACGCCTTTGAATATGTTATTTGTTTTCATAAGAATGTGAGCACTGCTTGGATAGTGTTGCAGTCTTGTTAACAGGAAATATTTTTGTACCCTGTTGTGTGGGATCAATCATCAGTTAAGTCACCATGAGGTGGGAAGGTGGTCAGACTAGGATGTGTTGTATAGGACATAACAAAATTTTCTGATAACTTGAAAATTTTGTTTGTATCCGATTTTGTCGGAATCAATCATCAGGTCAATCCCCATGGGGTGGAATGTGGTAAGGATAGGATTTGTTATACCAGGATGTTTTAGATTTTCTGATTCTCTTTCCCATACAGAATATTAAACAGGATACAGTTTCTAGAATCAATAATGTGCCTGTTCCTGTGTAGCAAGCGGATTGACTAAAACATTTCACATTGGAGATCATTAAACAAAATAACATAGTTAGCAGTTAGCAGTAATTTATTTGACCAACTTTGAATGTTGACTCTCTCCTCTTTCTCTCAATTATATTTACATATTTTCAGGGGAGTTATATTGATGCGACTTGAGCATGGTGGAAAAATCCAATCGGCTTCATTGATCTCAGCATCAGAAGCTGAGCCTGAAGAAGAAGAATTCGAAGCTGCTGCTGTTTTATAAGATTCGAGGCATTTGATACTTATGATTGTAGCATCCAGTAGGATAGGGGCCGGTTTTGTAAAATCATTTAGTGGCCTTACAAGACTAAAGATGGAAGTAACCTATCTGTAAATGATAACATTTTTTGTCGGATGGCATCTACAGTGTACAGTTTGAACTCCCTTAGTGGTTCCATCGTTGTAACCTGAAGTGTTGGTGCGCATGCAAGTTTATATAATCTCAAGTATTATTTTGTATTTCTTCTGGTTCATGTAAATTGTGTTATTTCAATTCCGGGACTGCAGAGGCAAATATATGTGTTTCTGCTTAAGGATGCTCAGTATTCTTGCAAAACATGAAGAAAGCAAAATGAGAGGTTTCCCAATGCTCTTTGTGTCAGGAAAACCATAAGAGGCATAAAATTGTTAAGACACAAAATCATATGCTTCCTTCAAGTCGAGCGTTAAGAGCCATGGAAGGATGTCTAGATAAACTATGATAAAATATATGTATGGTTCAGGATTAGTGCTTACCTCGGCAATAAGATTAGTAACAATTTTGTTGACTGATGCATAAGGATATAGGTCTGAAAACAAAATATTTCCAAACCCTAATTGTTAGGGATAAGGGTAGTAAAGGTACTGTGGATGCCATTGGACGTTTTAGAATCTATTAGAAAATTTACCTAACAATACTACATCAGCTTCCACAATATCGCTAATTTATTGATCACCAGCTTATTCTCCTCTGGAGAGCAAGGATTTTCCAGAATACTAGCTTCTATTGTTGAAAGAGCTTTTCTTGGTCGAAGGAGATTAGTAGAAGAAATAGGTTTACAACGGATTGTAATCAAACCCAATCACTGTTTGTCAATGGAGTAAGTGTACCGTGCCTAGTGCTTTTCTTGGTCGAAGGAGATTAGTAGAAGAAATAGGTTCAGCTTCATACACCTGCTTGTAATAAACTCAATCACTGTTTGTCAATGGAGTACGTGTACAATACTTCGGGGGTATTTGACACGTGATGTACAATACTTCGAGGGTATTTGACACGTGATACTCTTTCCAAGGAAAACACTCTACCGATCAATGAGGAGTTCTAGTTGAGAGGGGTACAACATGATTCCCAATGAAAACTCTCTATTTTTTTTGTAAAAAATAGAGAAGCTTATTGAGAAAGGGTATCACATGAGAAATACTTTATTAAAACTATTGTATAAATGACATGGTATCACCAACTAATTAAATATTGACGGATAGTGATAGGATCCATTAAAATAAAACACTTTTACTTATGTGACAAGATATAATTGGTTAATGTCACGATGTAGTATCACCGGTACAAATAAGTCTTTCTCATACCACATGTCAAGTATTGAGGGTATAGTATAAGTTATCTTGTTGATGGTCTAATATAGAGTCCGTTTGGTTCAAGTCATTCTAAAGGGTTGTAATAGCATTAAAAGATGATGAAAATAAGATGAGAATATGTGCTTTGCCATTCTTGGTAAAAAAAAAGTTGTGCATGTGTCAATGATTGATTGATTTCTATACTCTGTTAAGGCATGGTAATAAGTTACTTTCTAATTTTATTATTATAGCATACTTATATATAGGAGAAATAAGAAAATAAGTAAGGAAATAATATATTATCTAAATCAATTAAAAACTAATTGACCTTTCAAAAAAAAAAAAAAAAAAAAATACTAATTGCTTAATATACTTCTAATGCTGTTGGTATTGGTTTCCTAACATAAAGAAAAGAAATGAAAACTTATAAGATTATGATTAATATTGATTTGTCCCGGAAATTGAATAACTCCGCTTCGTTTAAGAAAACGAATATTCTAAATTAGCCTCAGTTAAGTACTAACGTTTTCTTAAGAACCAAACATAATTTTTAATATCAATTTCCGTTCTTTCTGCGTTTTCCCAGGAACCAAACATATAGGTAACATGGAGATAGAAAATCCAAAAACAAAATTCAAATAAAAAAGCTCGAAAAATTGAATTTGGATTACATATAACACACTAAACTAGAGAGGGAGAGAGAGAATTGTAGACGAAACAGAGTATGGCAATTAGAGCTAACCTTCTACAACCAACCAGAGTCAGAGAGTGTCAAGAAAGGAATGGAATTGAAATTCTTGGTTGCATTGCGGAAAAATGAATCATCAACGTAATGCAAGAAAACTATATACTAAATTTATATATATTGGTCTTGTAGAGTGAGAGTGAGAGTTCCAATGAGGAGTTGTGTAGTTGGAGAAGATGAGAGTCGATATTATAATCTTGCGCGTAATTGTTTTGTTGTTGAAGATCACTAATTCACGAGAACACGTGTTTTGGCACGTGATCATGGCATAATTTACGTCACTTGGAGTGAGATCAAAATCACAAAGATTAAGATTGCGTACAAAATGTGAGAGTAAAAGCGCAAACGCAAGAGCAATTTAATTGTGTGACTTAAGGTTTAAAAAATAGAATGATAGTTAAAAAAATCTCTCAAATTAGGTATTAATATATGGTAGTGGACGACTACTTACATTTGGTGGTCTCAATTTAGACTCCATGATTAAAAAAGTAAACTTAATTTATGAATAATGCTGGTAGTTATACTTGAATTGATTTTGTTGCGATTTCAATAAATAATGTCCAATAAGACTCTTAAACATTAATTAATTTAAAGTATTTAGTTTAAGCTTTAATGTTGATTGAATTGGAACGAGCAATTTGACACCAACCAAACTTTCATCTAATTTATTGAAAATAATACGCATTCGAAAATGGGTTGAATGTAAAAGCTAAAACTCGTACTGCAAAACAAAAGATAAAACATGAACAATTAATATTTGCAGAATTGCTGCATTGATTGATTAAATTAGTTACAAGTACAACAATACACATTAACATGAACAATTAACTATCGTATGTATCATGTAATAAATAGTGGGCCCATATGGGTAGTTTTTTTTATTCCATCTAACACAGTGATAAATTAAGCCCAACATTTAGACGAGAATGTTGAGGAAAAAATATTGGAGCTACTTTAAATTTGGACAACATTTTATTTCAAAAATTAATATCTAAGACTAAGCCTATATTTATAATAAGTAACCAAATTCAATAATTCTATATTTGAAGAAATATATATATGTCCATATGTATTTATCTATACTACTGTTAAAAGTGTAAACGATTTTGATAATTTTTAACATTTATATACTTTTTTTATCAATTATAATTTTTAATTTTTAATTATTAACAAGTAAATAAAATAATAAGTGTGTTATTTAAGAGGCAAGAGTTATATTGATATTCTGCGTGATTTAAAACAAAATGGCAACCCCACATTATTTTTTCTCAATAATGCAGTTATTGCCATACACAAACATATAATTTGTCCTTTTAAAATTATTTTATATATATCAACTTGTTTTTTCCTAGTTCATATTCACGAATTTAGATTTGTTTTTTTGGACAGGTCTTTAAATACATCCAAATAAGTTTATTAAGTGTTCAAATGTATACAAAATTGATAGGGGCATTCTTGTCAATAAAAAAGGATACTTTAGGACTTTTAGAAAAATATGACATCACCCATAGCTATTTTCTAACAAACTTATTCAATTCGGAGCAATTTGCTCAAAACTTTTATCTTCACAGATTCGTTCACAAGTCTTGCAATTCCAATGTGATATTAGGACTCAAGAATAAATCATAAAATTAGAACTCGATCGGACTAGTTATAAGACTAAAATTTATCAATTACAAAATTATCACACACAAAATACTTTGCTTGGTTTAACTAACCGAATAATTTTAACCCTCCATCTCTCTCTATATATAGCAGTTTAGACAGGGAGAGACTGCATCAATCGATTAGAATTAAACACAGCTAATTGAACAATTTAATCCGTCCTACTGAGATTCTGCGTCGTTCCACCCCTATTGGGATGGGTTTAGAATCATCCTCTAATCGAGTTAGTAAAAAGAGTTTAAAATCTACAAAGTTCCGAATTCGTCTTGATTAATAATTATTATATAAATTAATATTATCTCTTTTTTTTGGTAAATAAATAAATATTTATCTTATTAGTTATAATTTTTATTTTTCCTTTATTTCTTATAATAATTTAAATTTTAACAACATTTTTTTATTATGATCCGTTGATTATACTAAAAAAAAAAAAAAAAAAGTTGCAAAATCTATTATGACGCAATATTTCTGTTATTTTTTTACTTTTGGTAAATTAATACTTTGCTTGCTTCATGTAGTTGAATAATACTAAGTTGCTAACACTCCATATCTCTCTCTATATATAGGAAGCTTTTGATAAAGCTCCCGCTACTTTGCTTACTTCATGTATTTGAATAATGCCAAGTCACTAAAACTCTATATATATATATATATATATATATATAGAGAGAGAGAGAGAGAGAGAGAGAGAGAGGAGGCTTTTGATAATGCTCTCAGATACTTTGCTTGCTTCATGTAACTGAATAATTCTAAGCCTCCGTCTCTCTTTATATATAGCAGTTTAGAGAGGAAGGGAGGAACTGTATCAATTGATTAGAGCCAAACACGGCTAATTCAGCAAAAGGAGGAGCCATTTATCCTCTTATTTTATCTACCAGAAACAAGAAGAAAAGTAAAGAACAATATCTGGCTTTTCTTGACATTCCCCACAAGTGGACTTGCACAATTTTGTTTTACATAGGCCATTTAAAATTGGTTTTCTATCTTTCTCAAGGCTAAAATGCTTGGTGTATAGTTTTAAAAAAAAGAAAAAAAAAAAAAAAAAAGCCTCTGTCCCAAAGTCGAGAGGGGCATTAAAAAATTGAAATAATAATATCTTGAAGTAATTGGACTTATATAAAATCATCAATGCAAGTATTCCTACTGAGATAAATTGTCAAAGGAAAAACAACCCTTTTTTTTTTTTTTTTTTTCATGTTATCACCAGACTTCCATGTAATTTTATGGAATATAATACGCATTCAAACGAACCCAAAAATGGGTTGAATGTAAAAGCTAAAAAACATTTTGCAAAACAAAAGATAAAACATGAACAATTAATATTTGCAGAATTGCTGCATTGATTGATTAAATTGGTTACAAGTACAATAATACACATTAACATGAACAGTTAAATTTGCACAAGGGGCAAAAATGGGTAATTTTTGTTTTTGCTTCTCGTCACTTTCATCTTCCCTCTTGCATTATAAGAAGTAACAATTACAGTGCAAAGAATGGGTTGCCTATATACAAAATGGCTAGGACATGAGTTGGGACATCCATCCACTATTTTTATGGTGAGATCTTCTAATCCAATTTGAGCAAAATAGTGCAAAAAACCTTTTTTCTCCTCATGGAACGTAATCTTGAACCACCCAAGGACTACTTTTTTTTATCCTTCAAGTCAAGAAACTCACACACTCATTTGTTTCTCAATGGACTTAAACCCCTCACATTACACAGAGAGGTAAGAAAAGCAGTAAATGATTCCAAAGAAACCTTTCAGCCACTGAATTAGCAAGATACAAAGGCTATGTTTGTTTGGATGTAAAAATATTTTTTAATTTTTTTTTTTGATGTTTGGTCGCAGTAAAATATTTACAAATAAAAAATTATTAAAATTTTAAAAAAAATAATTTACCTATCACCATCAATTTTCTACAAGTTATTTTACATAATCCACTCGATAGACTCAACCTCAATCTCAGCCTAGACTTTGACAAGTTTATTAGCATACACTGGTTATGAACAAAAATCGGATCTATGGAGTATAAAAGGAAATTATATGCAATCCAAATTCTACCCAAAGAATTAGCTTGGTAATTGTTTAAGCCCCCAACCACTTTGTACTTTTATTCTTTGAAGAAATAGCAGAAAAATTATGTACTCCTAATTGTTTTATGATTATATTCTAATTTGTCCCAAACACAAAAATAGGATTCTCTTATTTACCGGGAGGATAAAAAAAAAAACACACACACACACACACACAAATAGGATTTCATTTCAAACGCAATCCAATTCCATTTTATCTTCTAAATCCCATTCTCATAAGCATTTGGTTCCAAACACAGCAAAAAATTCAAAATGCTTTAAATATATATATATATATTCTCCCTGAATGTGTTTTGTTATATTGAAGGTTTTAAAAACTTTTAATATGAATAATCTCAACCTAGTTGTGAATGTTAAGTATGAGAGTGGAGTTGGGCTTACACACACACAGTTCCTCTCCATGTAATGCAACCACAAGCTCTTTTGGGAGTCCTTACTGTGCCACCATGTTTCCTGCAAAGGGGACTCCCATGCTTACGCGCTTCTGCAATATCCCAGGCGCATCATGAAAATGAGGATCACGGTAAACCTTGGTAACCCTATAAATGATGCTAAATGGGCAACAATTTCAGATAATTTAGATATTACAACCACCGTAAAAAAAAGAAAAGAAAAACCAGTAGCATGTGATGCTGTTTCTTCTTTCCATTTTCTTTCTTTTCCCTCTTTCCTTTCCTGCTGGATGTGAAAAATGAAAGTTTGAGGTTTCACGCATCTTCAAGGGCAGCAATCTCATACCTCACTTCCTCCAACTTTTCATTTATGGTTGTCACAGCATCCTGCACCCCTCTAATGGCTTCTTTGATAGCATTATCATACTCCGCGTTGGCCTCTGCCTCTTCAGTTCCAGCAGCTTCTGTTATCTCGTGGACATGCACACACTCATGCTCCATTGGTTTCATAAATCTGCACTTCTCATGGCTCACTAGACGTTCTGAGGGACGCCCTGCCTTCTTCAACACCTGAATTGTGGCTGTCTATGGACCAGGAAGGATATTTATCAGAGTCCGACAATGTCATGGAGCATCAGAAAGTTTTGCAAGTGAAGGAAAAGTAGAGATTTGATTACACAATCAGAATTCTGCAAATGATAGGTGCTTAAGCATACACTTGCTAAGTAACCCCACAGGCATCATCCATTTGACACAAAAAATTTCAATACAGTAACTTTTTAGAGACTCACTTCATAACCCAAACCATGCCACCTTTCTCCGACACTCAAAACAATTAATACCATGGACTACAAACCCCTGGCATCTTCTACATGCCTGTTTTGCAATTAGGCCATAGAAAACCATTCTCACCTTTTCCCTCTTGCATCATCTCCCTCAGAATTTGGAAATCCATTATGGAAATAATGGCATCTCTACCCCCTCCCCCGGACTAATGGCCTAAGATTATGGAAAAGGCCATAACTTGCTGGATAGGTATTCTTTCCAATAGAGAACCAAAAAGTTATCCCCAGCTGCCTAAGAAACACGGACATGGACGTGGACATGGTATGACATGGATACGCCAGCATGTTCAATCCAAAATATGTAGGACATGAACTCAATGATACATATAAATAAAAAGTTTTAAATAATATACATATATTGAATAAGACATCTGTAGAACTTCAATTGATGTTTAATTTCTACATTAGAAATCAAAAAAAATAGAACATGGAGCTATACTAATACCGTAAATATTATTATATAATATATGCTACTACTCTCCTGATTATCATTACAATTATATTTTTGTCTTACATGAAAATGTCACATTGCATGCTCGACTTGTGGTAACCATGCATAATATTGTTTCTAACAAAAATACAGAAAGGTTGGACACTTTGAGGTGTCCTTGTATTGTTTCCAAGATTATCATAGGTATTCTTAGATGTATTTCCATTGTATGAGACTTGTGTTGGGAGTATCAGAGATGTCTGACCCAAGTTTCCAAGATATGTGGGCCAACTCCAGAAAATAATGAAATGTATGTTAAAAAAATATGGACACATCCTTGAAGTTTCAAACATGCTCCCAGTAGCACATCCATGAAGTGTTCGTATCCTACGTGTGTTCAAAGCGAGAGCAGAACATTTATAGTCCATGCCTCTTAGGCCGTCACTGTTTAAAACATATAAGAAAAAGAATCTTTGAATGTTCAGCTATGCTTCTAAATATCTAGCATCTATTTTACAGGAAATCCTTGTTAATATTAGAGAGAAGCTTTTGGTCCTTGTCCTTTGCTGATAAGCCAGCTAGAAGGGTTACTGGCTAGAACCTCCCACATGCAGTGTTTAGAAGGTTATATGTGCTCCTACTCAAATTTTCTAGGTGGTCTATTCATTGTTTTCTCCTACATTGAATATGGTTTGAAGTTCTTATTTAGTTTATGTGGTTGCCTATGCACATCCATTGGATCGTAATGGTGAGAACTCTACTACAACGACCAAAGCCTTTTCCCAACTACTTGGGATCGGGTACATGAATCCTATGCTTCCATTCCACTCTAAGGCCATGGCCTCAATCAAACCGCAGGTTACCTTATCCTTCCTTACTCTATCCACATTAACTTTGGCATTCTTTTTTCTTAGTTGGTACTCACACACATGCCTCCACTGAGGCTTGAACCCTTGACCTCTCTTTGGGAAGTAAGGGCATGATACCGCTAGACCACTGGCCCGTTGGTCGTTAACTTTGGCATTCTTCTTCCCGTAGTATTACTCCAATGTGAATTACGTCACTCTTCCTCACTGGCGCACTTAAAAGTCTTCTTTGCATATGTCCAAACCATCTTAACCGATTTTTTATTATTTTATCTCCAATTGTTGTTATTCCAACCATCTCATGAATGTGATCAGTTTTTATTTTATCCTTTCTAGTCTTAGCGAACATCCATTTCAACATTCGCATTTCCTCCGCACTCACTTTATCCATATGTTGTTTCCTAACTGCCCAACATTGTCCCATAAAATACGGTTGGTCTAATAGCTCTTGTGACATCCCATATTGCTTCAAGGGAGAGGTTGTTGGCACTTACATGTGTGAACGCATCCTAACTGTGTAACGTGTTTAAAAAATCGTGATTACGGAGAGTACGCAAAGCAGACAATATCTACGTAACAGGGCGGGGCCTAACAAATGGCATCAAAGCCAATCCTTAGCCGGAAACGAAGGAGCGTGCACAAGCCCATGAGGGTCGGCCAGCGAGAATGTTGGGTCCCAAAAGGGGGTGATTGTAACATCCCACATCACCTGGGGGAGAGGTTGTAAGAACTTGTGTGTGTGTGGACGCCTCCTATCTCTGTAGACGCATTTGAAAAATTATGAGCACGGAGAGTGTGCGAAGCGAACAATATCTACACAGCGAGGTGAGTCTTGACAGCTGTCCTATAGAACTTCCCTTCCAATTTTAAGGGAGGCATCGATCACACAACATACTAGATGCATTCCTTCATTTAGCCCATCGTACCTTGATTCTATGATCCACATCATCTCCAAATTCTCCTTCATTTTGAATAATTAAGTCTAAATAATAAAGATGATCACTTTTTTATACCTCTTGATTCTCAATCTTCACTACATCCTCATTTGAATTTCTAAATTTATTAAAGTTACAATCCATATATTCAGTTTTATTTCTACTTATCTTAAGCCCTTTTAATTTTAGAGCTTTCCTCTAAACCTCCAATTTGGCATTGACACCTTCTCTAGTCTCATCGAGTAGAACAGTGTCATTGGCATATAACATACACAATGGAATCTGTGGAAAAATACGAGTTAGTCTCCTTGATTAGTGGTAGGTTAGCACTAGAATTGTATAAATATTTGTTTCCTAGAGTTTAGGGATTCGTGTAAATATTTGTTTCCTATAGTTTAGGGATTTGATTGATAAAGAATCAGGGATTCCTAATTATAGGGTTTTTCAAAATTAAGTTAATTGCTGATTTTTCTCTCTGTGATTTCTTATATATAGCCCAACATAGGCTCTTGTAAAGATATTAACAGATTCAATATAACTGAATTCATTTCACCACATGGTATCAGAGCTGTAAGGCTTGGATTTCCTAAAAAAAAAAAAAAATCAGCGATTTTTATTTTTTCTGTTCAAGCCTTCATAGCCAATTTTCTCTGTGACTTGCCTTCATCGCAGTCATTCTCTGGCAATTTCTTTTGCCAATTTTCGCATAACCCTTCTATCCGGCCTTCATAGCCGATTGTTGAAGAATGTCATAAATTACTGTTCAACCATCCCAATCACCCGAGGAAGAGCAGGTTCAGCGCCCCACAATTAGGTCACTTGCTGGGAATGGGACCAAAGAAAGGTGATACAGGTTTCGAAGCTCGAAGTTACACGGGAAACCACCCACATCCAGCTAAGAATGGGGAAACAAAGGAGGACAGCAACAACGATAACGAGGACAAGCCCATATGACCTCACAGGTGGGTCAGGACCAGGCAAAAGAATATGGAGGATTCGACGGTGAAGAAATAGAGAAGTTAAGAAACCTGCTGGGAACCCTTGAGAAACCATCTTCTGGTGCTTGTTCTTTAGCCCTCTCAGGTGAGTCTTTATTCTCCCTTGGATTAAATGTTTCTGATAAATTGTTTATGGATTCATGGATCATAGACTCGGGAGCCACAGACCACATGACATATGCCTCAAACCAGTTCAGCACTTATACCCCATGTCCTAGCAATAGGAAAATCAGTGTTGCTGATGGAACCACAACCACGATTGCTGGTGTAGGAGATATCCATATCACCCCTAGTCTTGTTCTTAAAAATGTTTTACATGTCCCTAAATTGTCCGCTAACCTTGTGTCCATTCAAAAGCTTACTAGAGACTTACATTGTCATGTTACGTTTTATCCCTCTTACTGTGAATTTCAGGACCAGGATTTGGGGAGGAGGATTGGATGTGCTAAAAAAAGGAAGGACTCTACTACCTAGAGACACCGAGCCTTCCGAGTATGATTTTCGTTCCTCTCTTCTTCCAATAAAGATGTTATATGGTTGCATCATTTTCGTCTTGGACATCCTTCTTTTGCAATTCTAAAAATCATGTTTCCTTCTTTGTTTAAGGGATTAAATTTTGGGACATTTCATTGTGATATTTGTGAGTATGCAAAACACACTCGTGTAGCTTTTCCCATTAGCAATAAAAGAAGTTCCTCCCCTTTCTATTTAATTCACAGTGATATAAGTGGACCCTCCACAGTCCCAAATGTTTCTGGTTCACGGTGGTTTGTGTCCTTTATCGATGATTGCACTAGAGTCTCTTGGATATTTTTACTCAAAAACAAATCAGATGTGAGCAATATCTTTCTCAATTTCCATGCAATGATCCACAATCAGTTTGGTACCAAAATAAAGAGGTTTAGGTCTGATAATGCGAGAGATTACTTCAATCAAGTCTTGTCACCCTTCTTTCAAAAGGAAGGAATTATTCATGAGTCATCTTGCATTAATACTCCACAACAAAACGGAGTAGTTGAAAGGAAAAACGGTCATCTCCTAAACACTACTAGAGCACTCTTGTTTCATCAAAATGTACCAAAACACTATTGGGAGGAAGCAGTACTTACATCTGCCTACATCATAAACAGACTTCCTTCACGGGTTTTAGGGTCAAGAAGTCCAATGGAAGCCCTTTCTAAATTCTACCCCGACCTTAGTGCCACAAACAACCTTACCCCTAGGAAATTTGGGTGCACTTCATTTGTTCATGTCCATCGTTACAACCGGGGCAAATTAGATCCTAGAGCCATTAAGTGTGTGTTTGTAGGATACTCGTCCACACAAAAATGTTACAAATGTTTTCATCTTCCTACCAGGAAACTTTATATCTCAGCTGATGTCACTTTTGCGGAAGGGAAACCATATTTTATTGAACCTTATCTTCAGGGGGAGTCATCTATCATAGAAGATAAGGATTTTTTCCAGCTTGCTTTACCGTCTTCGCCTCGTTCACCATCTCTCTTACCTGTATCAAACACTCAATCCAACTTAGTACCTGAGCCTGAATCTCCTGTTTTGTCACCTATGTCTCCTGTTGTGTCTCCTGTGAAGGATAATATGACTCTTGATCACGTACGGTATGGGAAAGGGAAGGTGTACTCGAGGAAGCAAGGTCCAGCTCCTGATCCGGTGCAGGCCCAAACCTCTAACCTGACTCCTGAGAATGGGGTAACAGTATCTGAACCTACTCCACTTATTGAACACCAGCTCCCTGGACCTCAAATAACTGACCAGGATTTGCCCATAGCCGTGAGGAAAGGAACTTGAGAGTGTACCAAACGACCATTATACCCTTTATCTCATTATGTATCCTTCAAGAAATTCTCACCAGCCCATAGGAGTTTTCTCACCAGTCTAAATGAAATCTCTATTCCAAACACTTTATCTGAGGCATTATCCAATGAAGAATGGAGGAAAGCAATGAGAGTTGAGATGGACGCATTGGAAAAAAATGGGACGTGGGAGGTGGTTGATCTACCAAAAGAAAAGAAGGCAGTAGAGTGTAAGTGGGTTTTTACCTTGAAATATAAGGCTGATGGATCGTTAGAGCGCTACAAAGCAAGGCTAGTTGCTAAGGGGTACACTCAGACATATGGAGTTGATTACCAAGAGACCTTCGCTCCAGTTGCAAAAATGAACACTGTGAGGATCTTGTTGTCATTAGCAGCCAATTTTAATTAGGAATTACAGCAGTACGATGTGAAGAACGCCTTTCTACATGGTGACCTAGAAGAAGAAATCTATATGAGCATCCCGCCAGGATTTGAAGGAGCTGAAGGGAACAAGGTATGCAAGTTAAGGAAGGCCTTATATGGTTTAAAACAATCGCCTCGTGCCTGGTTTGGGAGATTTACTAACGTGATGTTAGCTACAGGATACAAGTAGAGTCAGGGAGATCACTCTTTTCATCAAACACTCAGTTTCAGGGAAAGTCAGGGCCTTGATAGTCTATGTGGACGACATAATTATGACTGGAAATGATGATCAAAGAATACGAGATAAAAGATTTGGGGAGATTGAAGTATTTTCTAGGGATAGAAGTGGCTCATTCTAGACAAGGTATCTTCATCTCGCAGCAAAAGTATGTCACCGATCTTCTTAAGGAAACAGGAATGCTCGCAAGCAAACCAGCTGCAACACCTATAGAGCCAAACCATAGACTTGGAGAGGCTATTGGAGATCAAGCAGTAGATAGAGAGATGTACTAGAGATTAGTTGGAAAACTCATTTATCTTGCCCACACCCGGCCGGACATAGCATATTTTGTTAGCATCATCAGCCATTTCATGCATGACCCCAAGGAGATTCATCTTCAAGCTGCCTACCGTGTGCTTCATTACTTGAAAGCTAATCCTGGGAAGGGGATAATGTTCAAGAGAAATTTTGAGCTTGTCCTTGAAGCCTACACAGATGCAGATTACGCAGGGTCCCCTATGGATCGGAGGTCTACTTCAGGTTATTGTACATTCCTTGGAGGCAATTTGGTAACATGGCGAAGCAAGAAGCAAAATGTTGTAGCCCTGTCAAGTGTAGAAGCTTAGTTTAGAGCAATGGCACAAGGTGTCTGTGAGTTGTTATGGCTGAAGATTATACTGGAAGACTTGAAGATTAAATGGAGTGGGCCAATGAGACTCTACTGTGACAATAAATCAGCAATCAACATTGCACATAATCCAGTGTAACACGACCGAACTAAGCACATTGAGATAGACAGGCATTTTATCAAGGAAAAACTAGAAAGCGGATTAATTTGCACACCATACGTTCCCACAGGAGGTCAATTGGCAGATGTTCTTACAAAGGGGCTCAACCGTGTTATCTTCCAAGAAATTATTTCCAAGCTAGGAATGGTTGACACCTATTCACCAACTTGAGGGGGAGTGTGAAAAAATACGAGTTAGTCTCCTTGATTAGTGGTAGGTTAGCACTAGAATTGTGTAAATATTTGTTTCCTAGAGTTTAGGGATTTGATTGATAGAGAATCAGGGATTCCTGATAATAGGGTTTTTCAAAATTAAGTTAGTTGCTGATTTTTCTCTCTGTGATTTCTTATATATAGCCCAACATAGGCTCTTGTAAAGATATTAACAGATTCAATATAATTGAATTCATTTCACCACAGAATCTCATATTGAATGCATCTTGTCAACTAATCCATAACTAAGGCAAAAAGGTATGGGCTTAATACTGACGCTTGATCTAAGCCTACAGTAATTCGAAATTTCTTGTTTCCCAATCATTCTAAATATAATCACACAACCATCATACATGTCCTTTATTGTTTCCCCTATAAACATTATACTACAGTTGTTCTAACTATATATACACTGGTTCGGGCTTTGTTGTTTTGAGCTGCATTTCCTGGGGCATGCCCATTGTAATTTGTAGAGTTTCTGGTCTACATCTTGCTTATGGAAGAAAAAAATTTACACCTAATGAACACATCAAATACAAAACTGAAAGCTAATAAATAGAAAAATTGCTTGACCATCAGTGTTGATCAATAATATGACGATCATAAAACATGCATACCACAAAAGATCCACTACATCCAAAAGCACTTGAGTAGGAGAATGATGATGAATGATCATTAAGAAGCTTGAGCACAACCTATGACGAATAAATAGCATTAGTTATGAACAAATTAATGATATAACACAAAGCAAGTGGGTGTGGATTGCATTAGGTGGATTCTCTTCTCCTTGTAGACTTCCTACTCATGGCATGTCTGTCAATTTTCTTCCGGAAAGTGTTCCTGTGAGGAGTTTTATTTATTAAAAGTGTTGGAGACAATTTTCAAAAATCATAATTGCTAGGGCGGAATGGAAACATAGGATTGTCTTGTTGTTGTTGTTGTTGTTGTTGTAGAGTACGTCTTGGTCTAACCATAATAGAATCTCTAATAAGGATTTGTCTGCTATAATAAAACCATGATGTACCGTGTTGAACTAAAAAACGATGGCGTTTTGCCCCATATAAACCCAAAATAAGTTTTATGGCGTTGTTTTGTAAGTCGTTAACATTTAAAACCCTAACAACATTAACTCTTTCAAAGAGTGTGGCAACAGTAAAAAAAAATAATATTATAAATGAACAGTGACTTTTCAAAATTACACTTTCTACTAATATTCTTTGGGCGAATCATTTGAGCTGTGTGTGTGTGTGTGTGTGTGTGTGTGTGTGCAATCTTTGGTGAACAAAACCTTCCCCTTGCTCTCTCGATCTCCGGTGATCGTGAAAGAGTCAAAGGCCTACATTGTTTTCAACAAAGTTTGTGCTATATAGAAGCCATAGTTTAAGGTATGCATAGTCATTTGAAATTATTGCGTATTTTTGTATTAAAAAAATCATTATTTTGCTTGATATTCACATGAATCTGTTTTTAGAATGCAACAAAATAAATCATGACTTCAACATCCCTAAATTGAAGTTTTAACACTCATAAATCGATAGTTCAACCCCTTAAACCCTAAACCCTAAATAATTGGTACAACACAAAAAATTGAGACATAGCTCCCTAAATCAAGAGTCGACTTCAACATCCATATTTAGACTAAAACACTTCTATTGAGACTTCAACACAATAAATTGAGACTTTAACAAAATATATCACTGACTTCAACCAAATAAATCGAGACCAAAATACAAAATAAAGCGAGTTTTCAACACAATAAATGGAGACTATAACACGATAAACAATATTTCAGCACTCCTATTTAGATGCCAAAACACCTATTTAAAGTTCAACATAATAAATCTAGAGTTCAACACAATAAATCGATACTTCAACACACTTCCGTAATGCAATGCAACAACTTTTTTATACAATGCAACCCTCTCTGTCTAGAATGCAAATCGAGACTTGCATTATTTTTCAAAATGCAATGCAACATAATATTTCCATTAATTTTGAAATGTTTTAGATATAATAATTTACTTCCAAATATCTCCATTAATTATATTTTCCATTACCATTCTTTCCATGCTATGATGCAATATGAATTGTGAGTATACATGGCTAATTAGTTATTTCTGCACTTGTAATTCTTCTGAGACCATGTGAGTTGGAGCTTCTTGCTTTATATGTTGGATAGGGGTTCGGGGGGAGCTTGCATTAATTTTAAAATGCAATGCAACATAATTATCTCCATTAAATATATTTTCACATTGCATGTTCTAAGCAACTAACCAAGTGGGGCCAAGCCGATGCCTAGCCCATGCCAAGCCCAATCTTGTGTCCCTTGCTTCGTGGTCCAAGCCCATGCCTTGACCAAGTCCAACTCATTCCCACGAGTTAGCCACGCCTTGGTCTGTTGGGCATTCATGCCTGCACCACAAGTCCGTCTGTGTTGCGCCCACGAGGCTTGTCGATCCACAGCTGAGAGCCCACCATGCCTTTGCTCGAGCCACAACCTTGCCTAAGTGCAAGTTAGCACGCCCAAGGGTCCATTTGTGTTTGGCGTGCCATGCCAAGCACATGCACGTGCTACCCGCCCATGGGGCTGCGGCACCGTCGGGTGCCACCACTGTGTGCACAACCATGCCCAAGGCATGTTAGCACACACCCAATGCATGCCTATGCTACGTGTGCCATGGCCTAGACAAATGTGCCTGTGTGCCGGGGAGGTCTGAGACCCTTAAACCCCCAATATGCAAAAAGAAAAGTTACACCTGTGCCAGGAGGAGACATTACCCTTGCTTGAGAAGTCATAATGCCCATAATTATTTATGGGGACCTCCAAAAATCAAACCGATTGTTGCAATGGGCTTCTAATGACTTAAGAACACTCCAATAATTTTCCCAAGTCATTCCTCCATGAATTTCTGGAACTTTATTTTCGAGTTATTTATGAAAATGTCACTGCCTCACATTGTGGCATACCGGCAGCCACTTGTGCCCCCATGTTGGCTGCCAAGGGCCTAGCCAGGCCTCCCTTGGCCTAGGCCCTGGTGTAGGGAGAATGTTAAGGGTGTAACACTTACCCTCTACCACCGTATTTTATATGGCTTATATTCAAGAAATGATTATGGATGTGATCAACATGGATATGGATATAATATCCGCCCTCAGGTACCATAACAATCATCCCCGTAGGACCAGCAGTGATCACCAAGGTTTATCATGGTATCCCCCGCCCCCACATTATCCCCAGGAACCATACCACTCTCAACCCCCCTACATCTCCAAGACACATAGGATTCTTGAACACCTTAGATACCATGAGATAGTTGTGGCAGCAAGAGGACAACATCTGAGAGTCTTTAGTGGAATATTAATAGATGTCCTACAAATGGGGGGGTTGAAACAAGAATAGCAATCCAAACCAGAAGATCAATATCCTCCTATTAAAATTACTGTTTGGTGGATGTCTTTCTTCATCTTCAAGTTCAACTTCCATTATAAAATATTGATATGTATTTTTAATGTGTGCTTTTTCTTTTTCTTTTTTTGTACTTCTATATTTATTCGTTTTCAGGTCGTCATCTTTATAATCTCTAAAATGGAGAATCCAGGGCAAGTGCAATCTAAATTTGAGGCCTTGAACAGTTTCCTACTAAAATATTTTAAATCAGGCCGAAAGAACCGGCAAAAGGCATCTAAGATTGTCCTATTCTTCATTCATGATCTGTAACCATTTTTAGCTTAAAATACTACAATGATATTGCAAACAGAAAGGAAGACATACCAGTTGCAATTTTTGCCTTTCCTGTACTTGAACAGCTCTGAGCAGGCCAGCTAAATCATCTCGGCTGTAATCAGGGTTCAGAAATAAAGACTCCATTTCAAGAACCTGCACGAGTGGAGAACCTTTAATCAAAATAGCATGCTGGAAAGGGCAGAAATATGTCTAACAGTAATGCTGCAATAGTGTGACTCACTTGTTTTGAGCAATCATTGAATTCTCCAGTGATCTCACTACAAAGTTGTTGGTAAGTTGATTCCTCTCCTGAAATCATGTAATCAGCAAATCCCCTGTCAAATAAAACATCATTTTCATTTAGAAATAGGAAATCAAGAGGTCTAGAAATGCATTATAAAGGCTTACTAAGATAACATAAACGGCATTTTGACCCTTGGCCTCAAAATAACCATCACATGCATCTTTAACAAATGTGATGCTAGTAACTCAACACAGGGGTAAGTCAAATAAGAGGAATTTGAAGATCAACTGTAAGGAACTTTGCAAAAATGTCAAAACAAATACTCTCTTTGAATCCCCCTCAGTTTGGAGTTGTTGTAAACTAAATCATAAGTTACAATTATTAATTTATCAGGAACTCTTGGACTTTCTAACTAACCGTTATAATTAATCCCACAATAAAAACAGTACTTAAATCCACTAATCAGACCCACTTACTAATACAAGTGTTAGAATTCAGGCTGTGAAAGAGTTTGTATGTCATTTCCCTGCACTCTTTTGTAGAATAATCCTTGTATAAACACTAGCTAAGCTGAATTGGTTTTAACATTTCAGCACGATTATGCCTTTCAATGGATAGGTTGCCCACATTAATGTTAATAAATGGCATCCTTCAAAAGATAATTTTTTGCTCAAATTGGTTAGAAGTTCCATTCATCGTTCATTTTACAGCTCCATCATCTTTACTATCGACATGCCTCTCCTCCTTCACTCCCTCATTAAGTACAAAGAAACCCCAACTCCAATTATTTCATGAAAAACATCAAGTTTTGTAAAACTTATAGATCCTTCGGACAAACGTCAAAAAACTATCAGCCTTGTAATAATGCATTCCCAAGAACTTTCTCATATTCCATAAAGAATCAGATTCCATTTATGTGTGATTAAAATCAATGACTTCAACCACAAACACTAAAAATAAATTAAAATCCCATTAACTATCTAAAAGATGTGAACATATATGTATACACCAAGCATACAACTAAGTACAACATTGCACTTTAATCATTGGCAACTTTTACATGATATGTTTCTGAAAAATATCTTTAATTTTTTTAATAACTTGATGAATTATGATCTTTCAATGAAGATAACTTTTATAGTTGATATTGACTTTGGTGGTTGCTAAATATAGAGACCATTTTGCTTTATTTCTATCATCAACATTCAAATCATTGGTGAGATAAATGAAGTAGGACTAAATACCATAAAAGCAAACAAAAACTAGGAGTATGAAATGTGCATTAACAAGCTAAATTCATGGATGATAATCTAGCAATAAGAAAATGGCTTGATAAGGAAAAAAGGAGTAAGGGTTAGCTGAAGAAATTAAGCACGGGCCATGAAAAAGAAACTAGAGAGACAGAGATAAATCAGACTAGATTTGCTTACTAGAATAATGTGGAAGAACTACAAGCTATTTAGAGTCTTAGACACCAATAAAGATCCAAATATGAGTGAATATTCAACATCGTGTCAAAATTTTTAGACTTCAAAAAGAAAGAGAAAATTTAATCAAACAAGCAAAACGAGAAGCCATGTAACGTTGACCTAAACAAAAAGAACTGATTAAAACCAATATGACTAATCCATCAATACCTATAGAAGGGATTGCCAAATCATTAAATGGGTAAAGCATCAACTAACTGCCAGTACCAGACCCAGAACCAAATTCTAGCAAACTAAATTGATGAAGAATGTATATTTATTCTGATAGAATAGAAAGTGCAACCTTAGTCCCTTCAAAATATTAGGACAACTAGACGGACTGCATGCACTAAAAAAAAAAATATAGACTGAAACCATTTTTAGTAGTTCTATGAAATTAAAAACGAAAGCAGCAAAACATATTGCAAAACAAATTGTCCTAGTGTTGAATAAAGTAGCTATCTGGGAAAAGAAAATGCTGCTTTATTATCTCTTAATTAATTTAATTAACTAAACCAACTACCTAAAGAAAGTAACACGTCACTACTCAAATAATTTAAAACCTGGTCACTTCACACTGATTATTTTAATTAAGTCATGCAAATAACTAAAAAAATTCCAATTTCTTGTACAACTCATTTTCTAATTTATGAAAAGACATATAACTACTAAAACCACTAAAAATTGAAATTTAAAAGTCCCAATATGATTTATCATTTATGTACTGCAGGTAACTACTTCCAATTTTCTAATCCTTTAAACATTGTTTGAATAGAATATTCAGTTGTTCAACTCTGTGAAGTGTTCTTTTCTTATAAGTTAGTAAATGGGCTAGCCTTTGCAGATTTTTTGGTGGCTCATTACATTAAAACATTATCGACTTTAAAACCTTTGCGAGCTATTAGTTGATTCCCAATTAGAATAGGACAGGAGAAGCACCAGAAGCCCAAATAGAACAAAACAAGGCACAATCTGAGAAGCTGGAACAACAATCAAATTGCCAACTGCAATTGAAGCTATACGAAAAGGCACCAAACCCCTCAGCAGCAGACAAAATAAGACTAGGACAAGAGAAGGCTTGTCATACACATTTTTCCACTTTGCATCTGCAAGCTCATTCAACTTTAACTCAGCACCTTCCTGCTGACCCAGTATCATAAGAATGTAAGAGAATTAAAATCCAACATGATCTTTCTAAATTGATTCACATTATTAATATTTGATACAAACATTCATATAATGTTTCCTTTAAGGAAAAATAAAAGTATAAGAGTGTTTATGCCATTGCAGCTTGAACTGAATCTCTATGATTTGAAAATCTTATTCCATTAAAACGTAAAATAAAATAAACAGTTAATCTGTTTCGACAGCAGCATCACTATGAAAAATTTGAATTACTTTATTCAGGAAATGAAAAAATATGTTCATGTTTCCTCTATATCTGGGGGCAAAAAAAGTGGGGGGGCATAATAAACAAAATTAAGCTATTGAAATAAAAATCCTGAATTTGTTACCCCATAAAACAAAACCTTCAACCACAGATGCTACTAAAACACAATAATCACCATATTTTCTTTCGAAGAACATTTTCCAACCCGAAAGCCAATCCAAATCACCATCTATTATAGCATATAAGAAGGCTCCATCAGGGAAGTAGGTGTTTATAAATTTATAAATTATAATCATCCACTACATTTTCTGCAAGATACTCGGTGATGGCTCCACCCTTAATGGCATACTGTGTCACATATCAGAGAGGACTTCTCAAATGTATACTTCAAAGGGTCCATTTGCGACACCAGATATGTAGTAATGTATAGCATATAGCACCTTAATCGATGAGTGGCCCATGAGAGCGCAGCAAATACTCTCTAGAAATGAATACTTTTCTTTATACTTAGTGAATCCCTTGCTTAAGTAGTAAATTGCTTGTTCCATATTGCCGGTAAGATTATGCTATCCTCCCAAGACACACCCCACAGCAGATTCCAAAATTGACGAGTACATGATAAAGAGGTCATCCAGGTTCTGAATGCACAAGGATTGGGGGATTGATCATTCCACTTAGAGGGGTTATCTTTCTTGACAAGATTGAAAAATAGATACGCATGTGGCTGTGAGTTGTGCTATGAAATGATCAATTAGTCGATAATAAAGCATTCAAATTAGTTGATAATATTAAAATTTGTTGATAATTTTGTGAAACATTCCTGTTAACGCCTAATTCATGCCGAGTATATGCTCTTCTTGTGAAACAAACCTTCAACCACTACTACAGAAAACACAAGAATCGCCAAATTTTCTTTTTCCATTTTCTTCCGTACAACAAAGAAAAACATCTCTTCCTAATATAATATGTACAGATATAGAGAGAGAGAATTAGGGGTACCTTTTAAGCTTTGCATATGCTTCAGCTCTGCGCTGCTGAACTCCGAGAAATCTCCGAAGCAAATCGACAATTTTGGAGGAACTGGAGCCATTTTCGACCTCCATGGAATCTGATATTGTCACCTTCTCGAAACCTTCCATTTACTCTCTCTGGGGTTAAACCCTAATTCCTCTTTGGTTCAAAACTGATGATCTGATCCCAACTCCCAAATAAAAAAGGGCTTTTGCTCGCGTTAGTACATGGTACCAAGATCAATTAAAATTTTCTGCACTGCATATAATAAAGAATAATTTTTTTAAAATAGAAGGTCTAAAAATTACTAAGAAAACTAAAGTAAAATATAGGCAAAAGTGCCAAAAAAAAACCCAGAAGTTTTACTAAATGAGCAAAATACCTCTTGTGGTATAAAAAATGATCAACTCAATCCATGTAATTTTAAAAGTGAGCAACTTGCTCCCTATGACTGCTTGCTTCCAGGTGGATCTGTTGACCCTAAAATCGGCTGGCTAGAGCCGATCTTAAATTGATGAAAAACGGGCGTGTCAGAACCAAATATATGGTTCGATTGTATTTTGTCAACTTATAATCTCTTAGGGAATGTTGACTTCAGGCGATTATAGGAGATAGATAATAGATATAGCAAGAAAAGAAAAGGAAAGAATAAGGAGAGAGGGAGGGAGGGAGAGAGAGATACTGAGAGATTGAGATAGAGAGATTGAGATGAAGAAGAAATAGCAAGGATGCTATTCTTAGAAAAGCTTGAAGAAGCAAACAAATAATAATAAGGATTCTGAGGGTGTTCAACCTCTAGTACACCATGCCTCGTTGTTTATTTATAGAAATTATTAGAAACACACCCCTACTAATAAGTATTCTAATTACAATAAAACTCTACCTCATCACTAAATACTAAATTTAAATTCAAACTAAAGTTCCTAGATAAATATTAATTCTTAACTAAAACCTAGTAAACATATAAATCTTATCCAACATAAAGTTCAAAAGTATTTCAAAAATAATCTATCAGATCAGTGACGCCCTTGTGTGTAACCTTGTTCTCATGCGAAATATGACACGTCATTGCCCTTTCTCTTGTAATCCATATCCATGTATAACACCAAGTAGATAAACAATTGGTATTTATCACTTTCCTTCATATCTATCTGTTACTTCAACTTTACCCGAACCAATTCCATCTGTAATGTTGTAGAAAATATTCCATGCAACAGCTCAATCTTCTTCTAACTGCATCATTATTATCCAACTGTAGCCCAAGTCTATTATTCAGCCCATGTAGAGTAAAATGTCTTGCAGCCCAAAATGTCTTCTTATGGCCCAAACCTCTACCACGTCACTGTTCATCAAGCCCAATTGTAATCCAAGCCCAATTACCAAAATGGGTGTCAACAGGATCATTTACCAAACTACATATTAGAATTAACTCTATCCCAAAAAAAAAAAAAAAAAAAAAAATTAAATAAATAAAAAAATTAAATAAAATCTCAAAAGGAAAAATACCACAAATGCCTCCATAGTAAACTGAAGCCTTTGGCCTAAATTTACTAAGTGTTGGAGAGGTAGATGTACCAGCGGTCAAAGGTTGATTGACCTAATAGACTAATGTCGGCGATCACCGCCACCTAATCTATTAAGGATAAAGTGAACGTGGAGCATATGGAATCTCAATCTCGGCAAATAAAAAATTAAAAATTTGTGCCAACCCCCACAATTTTGTGTGTGTGTGTGTGTATGAAAGGGGAGAAATTACCTGGCAATTTCTTTTTTCTTTTCTTTTTTTTTTTCTCACTTCATGTTCCGACATGCTAGCAAGGGCGTTATGTGCAGATATCTAAATTCTCATCGCCATGGTTTATTTACAGAGTTGTATTAATTCTAGGTTTATATCTTCATTTAGAATTTAGTATAAAGACAAATAATATTTTGTTCATAATAAGACTAATAAATTCAGGTTTGCGTACATATATATATATATATATATATATATATATATATATATATATATATATATATATTTGTAGTTATGTTATTTCATGCAAATATAGTGTTATATTGGATTCCATATGTTGCTTTTAATTATGAAGTTTTTCAGGCCAATTTTGGTTCAAGTATTTGGCATGACTTTCTTTACATAAACCACAACTTTACAAAAAAATAAATAAAGAAGTAGATGTAAATCTCCCTCTAATTATTAAATTGGTACAACCATAATAATAATCAACATCGTCAAAATTAATCCATGATAACTGGACAAACTGAAATAAATCTCAAAACAAATGCCATCATTCTTATTACAATGATATTAACCATGAAAAAATTGAACTAAACAAAAGAATACGAAAAGCTAGCTAAAATCCATCACCATCGTGTGATCCCATCACGTTCCTACTCAACGTGTACCTGAAATGTGATAATATAGTGAGCTCATAAGCTCAGCAATAAATGCTAAACACAATCATCGTTTAACAAATTAATCTTACCTTATATTCTCATATATAAAGGCAACTCAAATAAGTGCATTAATCTAAGATGCATATCTCCAGTTAATTATAAACTTATTAAATAACCATCATTTACTTTTATTAAATTCACATAACTCACATGAGCCGATCAGCTGGCATCTTTCTTAGTTGAAGTTACAATGGCGCACTTTGAGGAAACATGCCATTTGATTATGACTCATCTTTCATTGATTCAGCTAGCCCTTCGATGATTCATTTATTTCCTAGCCATTTGATGGAATATCTAGTTATGAGCTATTGAAGAATTTAGCCGATGTGTTTTAAATACCAATAGCATTTTCACTGGGGGAAGTAATAACTAGTTTTTCAATTGCGATAGAAAACTTTTGAATGTTATAATAAAAGTCTACAATTGAACTTGGAGAGAGAGTAGGAGAGTGCAGATGCAAATGGGAGATGAGAGAACAAAAATAGGTTTGATTAAATCAAAGGGATGCATAATCCTTTATATAGGAAGGGGTATAACAGTCATATTGGAGGGTAGTATTGGAACTAATACAAAACTACAAGTCACATGCATCTCAATATGCTTGGAAAGCAATAAACAGTCAAATTCAGGGAGCAAGATGCTCAGATTTGAAACTATATGGACTAACTTGCTTATTTTTATACCACATGGGGGTATTTTGCTCATTTGGTGAAACCTCGGGGGAGTTTTCTACAGTTTTGCCTAAAATATGTGGAATATAAATTTGATAAGGTATGGCATTACCCAGTGACCTAGTTGGTAAAGCGCTAAGCTCCTCAAGCTAGTGTGCCCGTGTTTGTGTCCCGCTCTTGACTGGATAAAAAAGTAAATAAATAATAATAATAAAATCGATAAGGTAGTAAAAGATAATAATATAAAGATTACAGTGTCAAAGTAACTATTTTCATTATTTAGGTTCAACATTATAACAAGACGAAGAGGTAGATACAATAAATAGAATGGCAATAAATAGAAAATGTGGGACTTCCCAAGTGACATCTGCAAATGATGAATTAGTAGTAGGAAATACCCCATATTCAAGAATGTCAATTGTCACTTTATTCCCCTAAGCATTTGTTGGATCCGACTTGAGAATCAAAAGGGCATTAGAATAACATCATTTGTTGGATCCGACTTGAGAACCAAAAGTTCAATGAATAGGTGTGGGGTCTTGAGTTAAGCTTTGGCTAAACTTTGGAAATCTTAATGCCATAATGCTTTTCAAGTCCTCCTAGCTATGGTAGATTAGAAACATTTAGTAAAATGCCCCTTATTTTATAGCTTCCTCAATTTTCTTTTAGTTTGATGCTTATAAAGCATATTTTTATTAATAAATTTTGTTATTTTGTGACATTTGTGAATGATCATTCTCTTCATCCAAGCAAAATGATAGTCCCTTCACAGGTGTAGTTTGGTTCCTGTGAGCCATACCCTACACTTATGGTCGGGAAGCCTTCGTCTATGCCTTGATCTACGTGGGCTAAAAGGAAAGTAAAGATTAATAGTGGGAGACCCCTGAGAACTCCAGTCATCTAGTAATAGTGGGAAAGTTGGGATCCAACAAGGAGGCTATAGGAGTGAAGAATGAACGGATCTAACCAATCTTCTTTCGATTGTTTGCAATGGCCAATGGATGATCCATCTTCCGTTAGGTCTAGGAAAAAGACTACAAGGAGTGAAGAATGAACGAAACTGATTTGATGAGTTGTGTTGTGATTCATAACTCACCCCTTTACTAAAGAGTCAAGAAAGGAATCAATCCACTTCCACTCTTACCAAAGAGGGATTTAGAAGTGAACGAGTAGTTTATATCTAGATCTAAAGGAAGCATGGTCAAGCGCCAAAGATTTTTTCTATATATTAACTCGTGAATAGATTAACTCTACCGGAGAATAAAAGAGGCTTTCCAGTGACTAGACAACCCGGACCTTACAGAACAATAGTAGAATCAACCTCTTAAGTTTGCACCTATTGTGGCATTGGGAGTTTCTTCTTGTCTTGTAAGTCAATGTGGCGTTAATGCATCTTTACCTATTATTTCAGGCTTGTCTGTTAGAGTTAGGAATGACCAGAGATAAGAAAAGTAGCGCTATTGTGTTAAGTTATTGTTTTTCGATATGGGGAGATAGATGAAGGCAAGCTAATTACATTTTATGTGACAAACGAATATCAAATCAATTAATATAAATAGTCTATTAGATGATTATTAGGTTAGCTATATTATATAGTGCAATGTATTGAGCTTTTTAAAAATAAACAAGAATAACTCATTTATGTAATGGAAATGAGGATGCTACATTTAATGATGTGAGTGATTAGAGAGATAAGATTCTTAATTATCAAATGAGGGAAAAACTAGGGGTTGAGGGATCATAAGAAGGAATGAACAAACTTCCTTCATTCCGTAAGAATGAGGTGGAGGGAAGAAGGAATGAAAAAACTTTTGTATGCCCGGAGAGAATGGATAAAAGGATGGATATATGAATTATCCTTCCTCATTCACATAATTCCACCACTCCAAATATGGATGAAAGAAACAAAGGAAGATAAGTGGGCCTATTATAAAAGTTTTAAAGTATAATACTATCCATCATAAACTACAATAGTATAGATAGTGATTGATAAAATGGTAAAAATAATTTAAAATTCTTTATTCCTTTCTCTCCTAATAAACAAAGTAAGATACCAGTTTCTTCTCTTCTCTTCCATCCAATAGAATAAAAAGAGGAAATGACACAATCTCTTCTCAAGGGATGTCTCATCCATCCTTTA